CGTCTCTGGTGTCCGATCCCCGGGAGCGTATGTTTGGAGGCTCCGGCAGCGGAGCCAGGGTAGCACGCTGCACCCGCACCGCTGCACTTGCAGGACCAGGCATCGGCACGTCCTGTTGCTGAGGAGGACGAAGCGCTGCGGGAGGGTCGCGAGGGGCGTACGTGTATCCGTTATCCGCGTGCCAGTTCCCGAGGAGGGTTGCAACCGTGTCCTCCACCCCAGTGAGAGTATGAGCGACCCTAGCGATCTGCGTCGCTACATCGTTGACCGTGCCGCCCACATGGTTCACCGAGCGGGTCAGGTTGTCGAGGCGTAAGTCGGAAGCGGCCGTCGTGGACACTATCGTGTTGTGTGCGTCGCGCAGCTGCTCGAGGTCATGGGCTGCCATGGTCATGTCCCGAGTCAGGGTGTCCAGGCGATCGTCGAGCACCGCTTCGACCGCAGCAGGAAGCTCATTCTCCATGTGCGCGAGGATCTGCGAAGCGATGCGAGCATCCATGTTCGATGCCGCCGTTACGGCGCGGCTCATCGACTTGCGGAGCGCAGCATTCTCGGTGGTTACTTGCTCGCGGAGGGCGCATACGTCCGCGAAGACACGTTCGATGTTCTCGCGCAGGATGGGGACGCTGCGAGCCACTGTTTCGCCGTTGAGTTGGCGGAGCGTATTAGAGCTGTTAGCATCACTGGCGGGGGGCGCCGTCGAGCCTGGTGACGGGGGGGCCTTGGCCTTGCCTCTTGATTGACGCCTCGCCGCTGTCGTCTGCGCGGACGCGTTGAGCGACTGGAGCGATGCGCCCGACTGGGATCGCATCGGGCGCCTCGACGTAGGGGGCGGCGCAGCCATGGTTGGATCTCCCGGAGTGGCCAGAATCTCATCGAGGCGATCGAGAGGAGACTGCCCTGTCGCAGTGAGCTGACCGTCTTCGCTCGACCCTGCATGAGCCGTTGGGGTGAGCATTGGAGCCTGATCCTCCTGTGACTGTGAGCCATCGAGCGGCGGGGGCACTGGCAGGTCTTGCTCGTCCGACATTGCTGCGAGAGCTGCCATCTTTCTGTGTAGCCACCGTTAAGGCGGAAGCGGAGGAAGACTGCAAGCGTGCACACTCACCCGGGTGTACGGCGCACCACAGTCGAGAGCCAGAGAAAGGAGCGGCTGGGCTGTTCGCGAGTGTCCGGCCGTATTTTTAAGTGGCTTCCAAAACTGCATAGGTCCTGCACAGTTCCTCCTTGTAAGGTTTCGGGAATCGGCAGGCCAAGGAGCGGATTACCCGCTGCTGGTGGCGGCAGCAAAGTGATTTTTAACCGCTGGTCGAGTCAGAGTCAGTCGAGTCACTCGCCAGGTCGGGGGTTTACGAGCCATGGGTCGCGCTCACCAATGGGCATATCGAGTTGGTCGTGCAATAGACAAGCGAGGAGTCGACAGGCCGTGCAGTAGACAAGCTAGGTGTCGACCATCCAGGCGCCTTGTCCTAGGCGCACTTCCTGAGATGAGTGACGTTAAGTGAGTGAGCCTGGCGCAGCCTTGGGCAGCCTGTTCACCCCTTGAGACCTCCTCGAGTCAAGCCGCCATCCGGTAGGGGACTGCTATGGGAAGCGGGCTGTGAAGCACACGGAGGGACGAAGTATGTATAGGAAGAGGAGGAAGGCGCGGCACCATCACTGTCGACCTGGACCTTGTGTCCCAGTCAAATGCGGTGATCTCCGTGTCGCCCGTGACGCGCAGCCTCGTGTCCAATGCGCCGCCTCGTGCTCCAGGAGCAGGCCATACTATGGCCCTCAACGTTACGCTTCTTTTACATTTTCGAGCCAGGATATACATGCGGGCAGTACCGTCTACAACACGGGAGAGGGGAGGCCCCTACGTGCTCATCACTGATCGCTAGCGCTCAGCACTACATCCGCCTGCGTCTTGAGCCATCCATCCCCTCCGAACCCCACTGGCAGACGTTGTCTTCTTGTCTTCGAATTCGACTCTGGACCGACTCGGAGGTCTTTATGGTCTTTCGCCAAGTATGTCTTCGTTTTACTACTCAGTCCTAACACGGATGATAGCTACGTACATGGCACTCACAACTCTGTTATGCGAAGGCTTGAGGACGGGCGCATCATCATCCGTTGAGCGTGTTGACGGATGTCAAGGTAGACAGAAGTAGGGCCATGCCATTGCCTGTGAAGATGGATACTAGTCAGCGATGGCAATATACTATATTGCGACAACTGGCGTGCATTACCGATGAGTTTTTCGATAGGAAAGACACTACAGGCCAAGGGTGGGTTCCGCACGTCGACAAGCATGCACTTACTGGTGTTTGGATACTAGTTGCATCGATCCTTGCCCATTCGCCTTCATCAACAGGCGGTATGCGATACGGATCAATCTCTCAAGCGTATGGACATTCCATACCTCGCTTGCGCCCAATGACCTGTGGACGTGTGCACTTACCCTACTTAGTACATCAGGAAACCTACCCCACGCAAATTGGTGCAAATTCATGCAAAATTGCATCAATTTCCTGGATACCCCATTTACTTGACCCCCCCGATTCCTTACCTCAAATTTGCGTGAATTCACATTCAATGGCTGTGAATTGCAAGGAATTACTAGCTCAACCATGCAATTTGGGTACTTCAATTCACATTGTTTTGCTTGTATTTACACGCATAACCACTACATCTACCCTACTCAACTCGTACCTACAGCTTGATGCGCATTCCAGCCATCCACTCGGAAGGCCTGTCGAGAGGCTGCCAGCAAAATTGTATAGTGTGGGCACATTCACAGAGGGCATGGAGGCGTGCACAGAGGGCGAGGATGGTGCTCACGTGGGTGGCCAGACAGCCAAGGGGGCACACAAGAGGGGGCGCACGCGAGAAGAGCTGCGGGCAAGATCGATGGTGAGTGCGCAGAGTCCTAAGGATGCACACGGGTAGCACCGCAGGTCCGCATGCCGCATGCCGCACTCGCGACCCGCGTACCCGTACCCGTGTACGGTGCTACCCGTACCCTACCCGGGGTCACCGCCGGTGTTGGCGGTGGACCGCGGGTCAGCCACCCTCGGTGGGACGTACCTCGGCGGGTTTGGGCTTGTTGCCTGCACCCGCCATGCTCGTCTTCCTCCCTGCCCTCCCTACTCGTTCATGCCCGCGCGTCCCCGTTCCTCATGCGCACCCTCCCGCGTACTCGCCGCTGTGCCCATACCCACAGTGCGCTCGTCGACTGCGTTTGCATGCATGGCACTGGCCCTGGGTGCTCGCGGTTGGCGTGTGTACCGTCGCCTGCTCGCCTGCCCGCCCGTTCGTCGGTCGGCTGTGTCTGCGTGCTGGGCATTCGCCCAGAGCGCTCGCTGTTGCTGTGCCCGCCCGTCCGTCCACCCGTCCGCATGCCCGCTCGGGTGCGTGTTCGTCAGCCGTGTCTGCGTGCTGGGCATTTGCCCAGCGTGCTCGCGGTCACCGTGCCCGTGGTGGTCGTCCGCGCCCTGTGTCCGTGTCCTCGTCCTCTCGTCCTCTCGTCCTCTCGTCCTCTCGTCCTCTCGTCCTCTCTCGCCCTCTCATCCTCTCTCGCCCTCTCGTCCTCTCTCGCCCTCTCGTCCTCTCATCCTCTCGTCCTCTCTCACCCTCTCGCCCACCCGCGAGCGCACCCACCCGTCTTCCTGCCCACCTACTCATCCGCTCACGCACCCTGTCGCCCGCCGGTCTGCCCGACTTCCAGCCTGCTTGTCTGCTTGCCCGGTACCCGTTCGTCGGCCGTGCGTGCGTGCTGGGCAATCGCCCAGCACGCTCGCGGGTGGCGTATGCTGCCATCTGCCATTCGTCCACCCGCCTGCGCACTCGTCCACCTAGCCACATGCCCACCTGTGCACTCGTCAACCCGTTAACCCGCTCACCCACTTACTCACCCACTCACCTGTGACTTCCCGCCCGCCCGCTCACTCTCCCGCCCCCTCGTCCACTCGCCCGCCCGCCGTCTGTCCGTCGGCCGTGCCTGCACGCAGGGCATTGGCCCTGATTGCTCGCGGTCGTCGCGCTGCACGTTGCCGTGTTCTGTGTCTACGTTAGTGGGCTCGTTCGCGTGCGTCTGCACTCACCGGTGGACTCTCGCGGCTCGCCCTCGCCCGCCCTCGCCAGCCAAACCCTTCCCTGTCGTCCGTTCGTCATCCGCTCGTCGTCCCCGCTCGTCTTCCGCGCCCGACGTCTGCTCGTCGTCCCTGCTAGTCATCTGCGCCCGCCGTCTGCTCGTCGCCCACGCCTGTGATCCTCGTCACCCGCGCCCGCCGTCCGCTCGTCACCCGCGCCCGCCGTCCACTCGTCACCCGCGCCCGCCGTCTGCTCGTCACCCGTCGCTGTGCCCGCGCCCGCCGTCTGTTCGTGGGCTGCGCTTGCACACGGGGCTTTTACCGTGCATGCTCGCCGTCCACGTGCGTACCGTGCTCGGGATTGCTGTGCCTGGGGCCATGGGCGACTCGGGCACTCACCCACCAGCGGCGAGAGGAGAGGGAGAGAACATGGGGGCAGTAGAGGCGGACCGTGGTGACTAGTAACGGGATTCGTGAGTAGGTATGCTACTCACCGTGTTTTTTTTCCATGGCTCTGCTTTCTTTTTGTTCACGGCTCCTGCCCCTCATCCCCATGACAGACGGCTGGGAGGTCGCTGCATGCGCGGGCGCCGAAAACGCAGGCATGTAAATGAATAGTCAAGAGTAGTCAAGTAAGCAGGCACAACAAACTCACCTGCGTGCGGGCCTCTCTCTGCGGGCCTCTCTGCTCGTTTTGAAGTTGCTTGCCCCTTCGTCTTGTCGAGTTTCTGCAGCACGCCAACGCGGGCGCTTTGATCAAAATTTGCTCGACGACCGGATGTGGGGAGGTAAGTCATGTGACCAATCTCACTCAGGGCAGGCATGATTGCGACTTGTCTGACTTCTCCCGGTCCGTTTTGGGCTGCAGAGTTCTTTTGGTAAGTAACAGTCAATCCCCTCCGTGACGTACCTGACGATGCTTTTCAAGTTCACCCTGCGCCGCTGAGCGGCAGAAACATGCGATCCGCCCATGGGAGGTCCAGCGGAGCGAGGAGGAAGTCTGGAGAGCGGAGCGTGAAGGACGAGACGAGCGGGATGGCACTCCGAGAGATGGAGGTACCTCGAGGGGCGGCGCGCAGGGAGTGGCGAGAGGGGCTGATGAAAGGGAAGGTGAGTATGCAGGAGGACCAGCTAGAGCAGCATCGATGATCCAGGACACGAGAGACTTCAACCGCTCTCGCCCGCCGTCTCGCTTGCTCACGCTATATCCATCGCACACCCTGCTGTCTCGCACGCCCACCGTCTCACGGGCCCGTCATCTCGCAGGTTCGCCATCTCGCAGGCCCGTCATCTCGCAGTCCCGCCTGCCGTCCGTCTCGCCCACCATCTCGTACTCGTGTTGTCTGCCCGCCGTCTCGCTCGCCCGCCGTCTCGCTCGCCCGCCGTCTCGTTCGCCCGCCGTCTCGTCCACCATCTCGCCCATCATCTCGCCCGCGTGCCGTCTCGCCCGTGCACTTGTCATCCTTCTCGCCCGCGCCCTCTTGCTCGCGCCCTCTCGCCAACACCCTCTCGCCAACACCTTCTCGCCCGCACTCTTACATGCACGTACGCGCGGACCGCGAGCGCGCTGGGCGAATGTTCAGCACACAGACACGGCCGACAAACGCGCGGGCAGGTAGACAGGCAGCAGAGCGGGCGCACAAGTGGGTGGGCGAGCGCGTCCACGGGAGACATCTCCCAGGTGATAGGCCTGGACGACCCGAAGTGCCTGTGAAAGCCCGGTCTGAAGCTCGGCGCCCCGCTCGTCACCGTGCTGGCACTCCTGGCCAAGGTAACAACGAGGGCTTCGCAGTTCTCTCAAAGAAGGACTACCTCTCCCTCGCGAGCTCGCCAGGACTCCATGCACACTTCCTCGCCACGCTCGCCGCCGCCCTGCACATCCTCGGTTCCGGTGTCTCGTGCCTCCTCGTGAATGACCCCGCACACGCCGCGCGGCCGGCGCTCGAGGCGAGGGCACATCGTCCCCATCGCTCGCATCGCTCGTGCTCGACGCTGCGTTCAATTGGGTGTGCGAGCCGCGGCCGCATTCGTCGAGCAACACGAGGTTGCGGGCCTGCTGACGGTGCACGTCGATACCAAGCAAGTTGCGAAGATTACGCTGAAGCTGTGTCCCTCGCCTGTTACGAACCTGGTGGAAGGGAGCAGAGGTAGTTGGTGACGCATGCTGACTATACACAGGACGACAAACCGCAAGAAAATTTGTCGTGTCGCTCAGGGTGGACGACGCGGTGCGAGTGTTGTAACGGCGTACAGCACAGACGGAGGCGCGGGTACGGTTGCACCTCGGGACACCCGCGGGTGTACCCGTACTCTGCACTAGGCCGTTCGGCGCGCCCACTCGGACGATCGCTCTCGAAGGCCCTGCAGCCTCTACACGCTTCGATTAGTTTTCCCCGCCGTCCACACCCTCTTAATATCAATTGAACGGTGACCTTGTTAATGAAACTCGCGTCTGCGTACTACCCTGTGCGAACGTCGCACGCCGCGCCGAGTGCACCACTGACGAGCTCAGGTTGGCACGCTCGCCATCGGTCCCTCTGGAGGCGTTCCGAACATCTGTACTGATGATAGTAGTAGTTTGATTACAATACATGATATTCTCGAGACTGGAAACTGATTTAGTACTAGTTACATGGCCCAGTGCAAGGCAGTGTCCACTATAGCTCGTGGCAATAAGTGTGTCAAGCCAGGTACTGTTAGTGAGTCGGCCAGTGTAAGTTCGCGCTGCCAGCTTTTTCAGACGGCGTTTACAAGCTGTTCGCACCAATTCGGAAGCCGTTTACACGGGAGGTCGCGCCGGACCGGTTTGGCGCCGATTCGCGCCACATTCGCGCAGGGGTAGTTTCCTGATGTATGTGTTTACTTTGCACCAGGAACCCTGTTGCTACCAGTGAGTCGTATGTTAATCTCGATAAGGCATTGTGCAGAGCGACAGATACGATTGATACTCGTGCGTACCTAACCGTAATCGCACACCCGCTGCGAAGGAGGGCCCAAGGGCCTCTACACAATACCCTTAAACACCGCAAGAATACAACCAGATTGAAACAATGATGCAGCGCCGGTGGGCTCGCATACAGCGAGTGGGACAGGTCCTTGCATACACCTTTTACAGAGCGGCGGATATGCCTTGCTTGTGGGTACACGATATATGTGCACATATATATGCAGTCCGGCGGCATTGCGCCAGTTTATGTAGCAACTCTCGCCATATGCGAAATGTTCAAGTCATACTCGGACGAGACACACGACCAATATGGAGGGCAGCCAATTTGTGAACACCGTACACCGCGCACCTCAAACCAATCTTGGATGGGTAGATGCAGCTGTACGGTCGTATACTGTCCACTGAGACTCGGACAGACATTCCCTCACAGAGCGGTGGACTATATGCGCATATGCTGTACGGCGACATCGCATCGGTGCAGCGGGTCTCATTGTATGCGCACAGGTTCTCGAATGGACATACTCAGACAGAAATATAGCTTACCTAGAAGACCCAGTATATGAGAGTATCCGAGTCTGGGTGGCACTCAGTGGTCCTGTCTAAGGAGCATCGCCTGAGTTTCTGAAGATGGTGGAAGGAAAGAGCAAGGTCTGCGCAGAAGTGGTGCAGTACTTGTATGCGAGTTGAAGTCGGAGCTCAAATCTCTGGAAGCCACCACGTACGTAGGTACTTACATGATCAGAGAATCGACGCGCTCACTTGTGGCGCGACAGATGACAGCAGTCACGTGTGCGCGTACCAGCGGGCGCCTAGGATCACTGCTCCTCGACCTTCACTGAGCGAACTTTGCTCAAGTGAAGTCTTGCTAAGTCCCGACTCTAATGCTCAGGCTCCTGCTATCCACACTCAGGAGGCAGGCTAGATTGAACTGTTATTCACTGCTCGACCGCCACCCATACTTGACAAAGGATCAACCGCTTTTCTGCGATGTACTTACTAGTTGGCGGGCCCGGGCGACTCCGAGTCGTTCGTTGTGATGAGGTGGTTACGAATGCAAGATACATCTTACTTTCATTCGTTACGGCCCAGGGCGATGAAAGGGGTGCGTGCATCCTCATTTGTCTATCATTTCGATCGATTGATTGCCCATTTTAGCGGCAGTGACCTAGTAGTCTATCACAGTTTGAATACGCGCCGCGAACGCCACTGACTAAATGGACCCACCCTCCTCCTCCTCCACAAGGTAAGTAGAAGGACTTGGGGCGACAGACAGGGCAGCATATCGCCACTGTACCTATGCTACAACGCGGCCTTTGCCAGTGATTGAAGCTGTCTTTACAGTCATCAACGTTCGCGGGTTTGTAGCATGACATGGCCCATGATTCAGCCACCCGACAGGCGTATGCCGGCATTGCAGTGTGCCCGGTGGAGCGGCGTGGTATTAATCTTGAAATGAACTCGCAAGGAGAATATCCTTTGTACTCACTGCAACCGCCGGGCCCTATCCTCCCCCCTCCCTTCGCTCGTCACCCACAGAGAAGGACGATACACCGACTGAGAAGTTGCAGATCCTGAGCCTCGAGGACACAATAGTGAGCATCAGCATCATTCGTCGCCCTTAGCCGTGAAAGAACGAAAGAGCGTAGGACGAACCACCACCCTACTAGTGGTATCCCAGTGTGAGTTTCGGCTCCACCTTCGTCGCAGCACAGCACCGGCGGGGACCTAGCTTTCCCTGGCTTAGCGGAGAGTTCATGGAGAGGTGGAACGGCGAAAGTATAGGACGTCAGAACACCTGGTGCTCCCCCGACGGACGGTCACTCATCACACTTTGGCCATAGGTGGCCCCAGAATGCTAGGAAGACACATGGTGTATGTGTTCTAGAGTGGCATTGTGAGTACCGGAGCCTTTGTTTTGGTGGGACCGACTTCCTCTATATCAGTTCGACTGCGAGCAATCCTTGGGCTCCCGCATTCCGGTGTCAAGTCTTACCACCAGCCGAGCCCAACAACTCTGTAACCGATTGAAAGCCATTTCGCACGTCGTATGCGTCCAGGTAAGCGTGTGGCGTACTGCGTGCTATAGAGGCCTACCTCACGAGTCAAGTGGCGCATGCTTCCCGCGGAGCTCTGGGACCACACCATCGACTTCCTATGGCCAGATCCACCTACACTACTGAACTGCGCCCTGACGTGCAAGACATGGCATCCTTCCAGCCAGTATCACTTACGGCGGGAGACCGTTATGACGATCAGAAACGAACGCATACTCCGGTGCATAGCGCGCATTCTCTGCTCGCGAAGCTGTCGTCGACTTTTCGAGCTTGTCGAGACGCTCCGGATAGTAGACGATCCTGCGAGACCTTTCGCTCGAACCATCCCCTTCCGCCTGCGCCCCAATACCCTACCGGCCCTAACAAGAATCATGATGGAAAACATATGCTGGACGACCCCAGAGCAGGAACCGCACCATCGATTCTTCGAATGCTTGTCAGCGTTGGGATCAATCAATACAGTCGAGTTTGAACAGTGCCACTTCCGAGGCCGAGGTGTTGTTATGCAGCAGAGGATCGTTCGTGCCTGCCATATGCGTAAAAGGGATCGCGCAGCTTCGGCATATGCCCAGAAGCCTTGACGCGGTGCTCCGTTACCAACACCTTTTCCATTGCATGTGGCATGTCTTTGACAAGCGATGGGACCATAAAACTACAGATACTAGTCCATCACGAATGGCAGACTTATAGCGACGTGGTACCAGTACAAATACACATGGCCGTGGAAGAGGGTGACCTCACCGTCATAGGTCTTTTGTCGCCTGTGACGTCAAGACGTAGGTCCACGAATTCCAGTTGTCCTGCATAGGAATGTGGCCAAGATGTGCTGCCCTGGCCGGTGGATCACACATAGGAATGTGGCCTAGATGCACCGCCTTTTCCGGTGGGTCGAATAGGGGTGGCTGCTCGATGTTCAGCTCGACGTAGCACGTGGAGACGAATATCTTGAGGAAGCCCACTGCGTTATCAGAATGGGTTTCCGGCCGCGTGAATCGTAGAGGGTTGGTACCAAATCCGCCATAGCCAATACAAATGTGGCCTTTGACTGGAAGAGGTGCTTCACAGGTGCCCCATCGAGGTGAAAACAGCTCCTGTGCAGGGATGTCAATGAACAATATAACTCCAAAGAGCTCAGCGCTCAGGACACACACCTTGACAGCGTAAGTACTCGGATCAAAGAAGTACACGTATGGAAAGAGATCGATGCTCGAATTGTTGACCAGCGTGAAGCCGTATTGGCGATCAAAGTTCGTTATCATGGCCTCCTCCACAGGCTTTGGGATATGGAAGTGACGAGGATCGGCCCACTTTTGGCCATCAATATTCCCCGAGCAGCGACTAGCATCGGTTTTGTGGCAGTAGAGCGATGTCATGCCCTGCACAGTGCGAAGGACGACCTCTTCTCCTCGGCCGAGACGACTGTGAGACTGCTCCCATGCCTCGCAGACCGTCTCCACCATTTCCTCCAGAGCGTGCATTTGGACGGTTAGGCGGAGTTCCTTGTCAACCGCAACGTCCACATTGGACCGATATAGGTGGAAGTTGAAACGGGAAATCGCGTCCAGAACGCCTGTTGCATGCGCCGACGACCTGCCAGCAACCTCCAAAACGCGCCTGCTGCCGAAGAAACGTGTGACGAGTGGATCGAACCTCTCGATACGCCAACCACCCGGAATGGCATCTAGTGTTAGGTCGAAGGCGTCCTCGTCATGCGTCACTCGATAGAGCGCCCTGGTATTGATAGCAAGACCATCGTCCCCGGGGGTGCGACGGACATACACGCGCGTGGCGAGCGAAATTGGCTGGTTCCAGTGTGTGACGACCACTCGTTGAGGGATCGAGGAGTCGAACTCTACACCGGCCGAGCGGCACGGCACCTCGCATGTCGTTGGCCACACATTCTCCGCCTCGAATATCACTCCACCTTTTGCTTGTATACCCGAAAGTGGTGGAGGTAAAGCGAACTGCGTCCCCTTGGTAATCCCATGAATTGTCCCGGCTCGCACGTGCCAAGTGTCCCCATGTCTGATCAGGATGAATGAATCGGGGGCATCGGGAAGTCGACGCGTGCTGAAGAGCACCCTATCACTGTGGGTGCCATCGCACTGCGGATGTTGCTCAAGGAGCGAAGGGAGTGAGTGGATCGCGCGACGCGGAAGATCGTCCATCAAACGCGCATACGTGAGCGCCTCTAACCGCTCCCTCCCCATGGTGCGTAGTGTCTGGATCAGGTTGGCGGAAAATACACCGCGGACGTTCTCTGGCATCCCGGCTCCAGGTGAATCGTACGAGCAACGCATTTCCTTGGCTTTCTCAGTGGCGCGACACGCAGCCAACAAGATGTATGATGCGTCGCCTTGTATGCTGATGGGACTTCCCAAGATACAGCTCGGTCCGATGTGTGATGGCCCCATATCTCCTGGCCTAGTGTCGGGGGGATAGGTGTGGAATAACTTGGGGCAGACCTCACCGACACAGAGAGGTCTGCCCTCGCGGCCCGGGGATCTAGCTCCCTTGCCATCCCTCCAGAGTGGCAACAGTCGAGGATAGCCGTCTAGCCGTGGCCAGAAATGATGAGTCACTCTCGACAGCATGACGGGAAGGCGCGAACATACGATGTTGTCACCCTTGCGGTCCGCCAATATCCGCATAAGCCCGTCAAGCGTTCGGTCAGATATCCCGTACTTGTCATCGTTCTTGTCCTCGTCCATGTAGTCGTACGGGCAAATGAGCTCTATCAGATCATTCTGGGCAGGCCAGTGCTCTGGTGCACGAGCATAACTGCCATGCCCGGAGAAGAAGAAGATGAGAGCATCGCCGTGGTGAATGTCCGGATTGTTCCAGAAGTGGGCCTTGAACTCGTTGATAATAGCGGAACGGGTGGCCTCTCCGTTGATCAGTTTCGAAATCCTAGGCGTCGGTACGTCGAGGACATGTTTCAAGTAGTCCATGAAATCCTGAGCGTCGTTGATGCATCCCGACAAGTTAGGGACACTCGGAGAGTGGTATTCGTTGACGGCCACCACGAATGCGAATATACGCGGAGCATTCGTGGGCTCAAACGTCAGAACCACGATCGACACCCACGAATGGCTTTGCAGGTTCTCTACTCAGTAAAGTCAGCGCGTGATTTGATTTAATCAAATCTGCCGTACTCAAGCTCTGAGATGTAGCCGCTGTCGGGTGTAGTCGTCCTGGGTATGGGATCGATGTCGCGGCTACTTCGTGAATGCATCAGCTTCAGCGTATACCTGCCACGGATAATTGCGGACCATTCTCTATCGCCAGCAAGATCTGAGTGATGCAGGGAGAAACGTGATTCTATAGAGGCCACACTGACATGCATAGTTAGTAACGCTTCGCTTGCACAGACCTAGGCGCATTCTCACATAGAACAATGTTCAACAGAAGACACGATCTTGTCGACTCGGCTGTGCATCACCATTGTAGTGCCTGTCTCCCGTAGAGTCGTAAAAAAAGGATGTGTCTGTGAGTGTGAGGATGTATGGCAGCGAGAGGCGACATATATACCATGCCAGGGTCCTGAGCACTCACTGCGTCCATGGAGAACAGAGTTTCAACCCTCACACCTGTATCAGAACCACAGACCGCAGGGCTTGGTCTTCTAGAGGCTCCTGCGGTGAAGAACACATGCTGATAGACGCAGAGACACACGTATACGCACATGGAGTCAGCCTGCCTACTGAGTCCGAGCCTGCCGAACAAGGGTGCGTTAGTCAGGATTGCAATACAACTGTCTTCAACGTGAGTTTACGCACAGATATAGCTTCCATGCGGTATGTGTACAGAGAAGCTTCGTGTTCGACGAAGGTTTGCTGGTTTGCTGGTAGTCCAAGTGGTGCATCAGACCACTCATTGACAAAATATCACTTCCGATACAATCGGTGCAGGTTCCCTGATAATCTTCAACGTCATGAGAACGGAAGATGCGATATATCTCCTGTACATAGAACGCTGGTCTTACCAATAAAACCAAGTTGCAAGTCTGACATGCTCGTGTCAACCCTAGAACCGGCAATTATGTCCTGGCTATGCGTTAACGACACTGCTCGACAACATGTAGAATGAACTCACTCGAATTCAGCAGACTCCGCTGTATCAGAGTACGGCAGTGCACTCAAGTTCATAGAGGCCTGTGAACAGGTTACATGGTGACTTGTTTCGTGCGGTCGCAACTTGCATGGCCTGCACGAACGTGGCGTTGGACACACGTCCACAGGTTCTATGTAAGAGAGGCATTGAGTCTAAAGTTCAAACACTCGGGCTTTCACTCATCGACAACACTAGGAGCATACTGTATGGTTCCGTGCTCTGCAGAAGGACGTGGCTAGCTGGCTTGGCTCCTGCATGTCCAGATGATTCTCCGAACGCTGTCGGTGTGTACGAGCACTGGCAGGGTCCGAGCGGTAGAAGGCGACTTAAACGGGGAGCACCATACCTGAGAACGACGTGATTTCCAATCAATAAGTTCTATACCCTGCCTATCCGAGTCCACATGTCCGCACCTGCAAGAGGCAGCGCCCATCGAGGAACGGAATACCATCCGCGTGTCATTCGTTGAGGGAAGCAGAATGAACCGCAACCGCCGCGGCGGCAGGACCCAAAACTCACGAGCTTGGTTCCGGTGGTATCCTGACATGCGGCATCAGCCCTATGCTTCAGCAACTTCTGAAAGCTGTCAATGTCACGAGAGATGCTTATGATAGCTATGATCAACACGAATACAATAGGTTCTGCCGCTTCTCGTGTAAACAACTTGAAGTGGCCACCAAAAGCGAAAACTCACTAGTACTCGTAATATATGTCCCCCGACCTATGGCATAGAGGGTTGGCCTCGCATTCCAGACATGTCGCCCTACGCCCTTGCTTTAGATGGTATGTGGTTGGAAGATGAACGTGCCAGGACCAAGTATAAGACACCGGGTGGCGCTCCACTGAGCGAGGAGAGCGGAAGCCCAGGTAGACGCCCAAACCGGTCAGTCAGTGAGTACGTAGGAGTGTCAAACGTTGTCATCTGCCGACTCGAAGAACCTGTATGGCAGAGCTTCGTATCCAGAACACCACTTCCACACCCGCCACCTCAGTGATCCACGTAGGGAATCTGCATGATACATTGACATTGCTATTCGTTACAACTCGTTCGTATACTCGGGATGAAGACAAGCCAGACCACCCAATCGCGACTCCACTATCCGCAAGAAGCTCAAAAAGCGCGATCTATGCAGAGGCGAAAGCCTGAAAGCGGATAGCCTCAGACGCAGACGCAACCTTGAGCGGCGGGACACCCGGAGCCATGCCGATGCCCTTCGCAATGCGGTCAGACAGGCTCTGGTCGACAGTGGCGAAGTACGAGACTGTTATGGTAGGGCGCATCAGTGACACTGATTGCAATGGAGAGAAACGAGGTGACGTACGCGTTCGGGTCTTGACCTCCTTGCTCTTCGCGTTCTTGAGGTGAACGACGACGTTGTGGACGAGGTGCTCCCGGTCGGTGTCGTTGAACACCTTGAGCCACAAAGCGCGGGGCTGCTCGAAGTCGACTAGAGAAGATGCGGATGTGAACGGGGATCCCTGCCGATACGATGGGAATGTACTCACGTTCCGTCACGAAGCTCAGGTCCGCGTTGGCGTGGCCGAGCCAGATCTCGTGCTTGACGCTCTCGTACGGCTTGGGCTTGTACCTGCAGACCCAGCGTTATCAGCCGCCTCGGTCAGATGCGCAGGCAGGTGACGCTTACTTGAGCGGCACAAGGCTGCTCTGGTAGTTCGGGCGACCACCCTGGCTGATGAAGGTCATCGCACCATCACGCTGGAAGTTGGCGACAGGAGCGACGGGCGCGTTGACCGGCAGCTGGTTGTAGTTCACACCGAGACGATGTCTGACGGTGGGAAGCCGCATGGCATCAGTGTGCGTGCCGACAGATGGGAGGAGAACATTCCCACTGACCTGTGGGTGTCGGGGTAGGAGAAAAGACGGGACTGGAGGACAGGGTCGGCGGACGCCTCAATGCCCGGCACCGAATGCGACGGCGAAACGCAGCCTGCTCGATCTCGGCGAAGTAGTTTTGCGGGTTCTCGTTGAGGACCAGCTTGCCGACGGGACGGAGCGGGTACTCCTTGTGCGGCCAGATCTTCGTCAAGTCAAGAATGTTGTAGCGGAACTTCTCAGCCTGTGCCGCAGTCATGGTTTGCTGACGGCGCCCGGACATCAGACGTGGCCACATGAATGACAAATCAGGTCACTTACCACGTATACAGTCCATGACGGGAAGTCGCCTCCCTCGATGGCCTCGAACAGGGACTGAATACCGTAGTCGGGGTTCTCACCACCAATGCGGCCCGCCTCTGGCTCCGTCAGCTCCTTGGCACCTCCATCCTTCCTGACGTGGATCTGGACGTAGTGGAAGCTGCCGTCTTTGTTAACGAACTTGTATGTGTGGCCGGAGTAGCCGTGCATGTTGTGGAAGCCGTCGGGGTGCCCACGGTCGGAGAAGAGGATCATGATCTGGTGGATCGACTCGGGGTTGAGCGACAAGTAGTCCTGCACGAAAATCTCAGCGATCCTGTTCTCATCATGCACGATGGGGACATACCCAGAACATGTCAGCATCCTTGAGGTGGGTCTGGGGGTCACGCTTCTGGGTGTGGATGAAGTGGGGAAACTTGGCGGGATCCCGGATGAAGAAGACAGGGGTGTTGTTGAAGACCCAGTCAAGGTTCCCCTCGTCCGTCTTGATCTTGATTGCGAAGCCTGAAAGATACCAAAGTCAGATCCGTACAATACCGCGAGTGGCTCTTCATACCTCGAGGATCACGGGCGGTGTCCGCAGACCCGGCCTCACCGCCGACCGTCGAAAGCGAACCGTCGCCCTCGCCTTGTTGCCCACCTTCGAGAAGATCGACGCGCAAGAGAGGTCACTGATGTCGTGAGTGACCTCGAAGTAGCCGTGAGCACCAGCACCCTTGGCGTGCACAACACGCTCTGTGGCACGGGATGATCAGCGGATCCTCGACGTAAATCCGTTGCGTGGATACATACCAGGGATACGCTCGCGGTCGAAGTGGGCAAGCAGGTCAATGTGGTGGAAGTCTATTCCATCCCGGGTAAGTTCGCTGCACGACTACGAGAGCAATGTGCGACGTACCCTGAAGGAGGAGACCACCGTGGCTGCCGACGCGCTGGGCAGCGTATGGCTCCGCTACAGGCGCACCGGTGGAGGTGGTGTAGACAGCGTTGTCCTGGCTTGCGAAAACCTGCTTGGAAGGCATACTGAACGATTTCTCTTCTCAACGCGATGTACGAGGCGCAATCTCTATAGGAAGAGGAGAGGCTGGAGAGGGTGGGAGAGGGACAGGGGGCTATTTAAATTGCGGCGGCCTGCGCTCGAGCGGTCTCCCACCGAAGCGTGATCTTCTGTGAGCGCGATGTCAGGGAACCTTGTCAGCTGTTCGCAAATACGCATTCCGGCTCGACTGGCCCCTTTGCGGGATTGACTAAGTCGCGTATGTGACCTGCTGAACACGGTCACGTGCCCCTGATTCAGCAGCCTGTCGCAGGAAGACGAATTGCAACGACTCACTCAGCCCCTTCCTCGATCGTTCGTTGTCTCCGTGACTTCGCACGAGACAGCCCATAATCCATCCGGGCACCATACGGGCGCCTTCCCGAGTGGCTGAAACCGGGTCTCCGAAAGGTCAGGTCGTAGCATACCATCTACGCAGCCAGCGGCCGGCGGCGTCGCGTTGCTGCCTGTCAGCGCATTGCTGAACTCTCTTTGGTGAACAATGATCCGTCAAAGTCGTAAAAAGGCCGCTGACACGCCTTGCCCACCTTGCACGCATGGGTGTGGCGGAGGCGATGCCGGACCTGGCAAACCCGTCAGTCGGCAGACCGGAACCAGTAAGAGGCATACAAAACTCACAATGGAGCAGGGGTCTTGATGGGCATAATGCATCAGTCTTCTCCAAGCTTCACAGAAGACGAACGGACCAGGACGGACATCGAGCAGTCAGATCGATCTCCATGCGCGGTTTCGCGTTCTCCCCGCCAACCATCGTCCAGCTGACTGTCAGCGGGGTGCATAGCGGCCTAGTCCACCCGACTAGCACCACTATCCAAGAACTAGCCGGGTCCATGATGAGGACTGCACAGATGGCATCGGCGCTTATGCGATCATGCGACCCATTCGGTGGGCATGTCCCTGGAGAGCCGGGACAAGTAGGATGCGCACAGCTTCATGGGAAAACCGCTGCAGAAGTGTCGAATAGAGAGTCCCCGCCACGTTCCATCGATAATAGCAGCATGCCTAGGAGCGACGGAACGGTGAGCGGCTAGGAGCTCGCGACGGCCCCCGCCAGGACCAGTCATGGTGCGTAATCTGCTATTGTTCAGCACGTCTCAGCCGCTCCGTATCGCGACATTCCCCGAAAGTAAGACATGTGAGGTTCCAGATTGACCACAGTAAGCGGAGCAAGAAACTTCGTGCCAGGAAGGAGTCGGAGGCGCTGACGAGGTCGCAGTGGCACATCTCTTGGCTCCGTGCAGGTACGGGTCGGTACGGCAGATCTGTTGCCAGAAAAAGATGGAAAGTAGATACGGTGGGAACGAACGTCGCGCCCTGTGAAAGTGACGCGTCGAGCGAGGACGGGCTTCGACGGCATTTGGTCCGTAGTTGACGTGGATTCCAACCTCCGCAGCACCCAAGTACTCACAGTTGTCGGAACCGGAAGAGAGGTACGCCGTGTCGAACTGTCGGAACTGGGGATGAAGCGAACCTATGAAAGACGCATGTCATTGTCCTCTCACACGTACGCGTCGTTATACACGAGCTTCCGCGAGACGCCTTCTCATTGCACTGTCAGCAAGGCGGTAGAACAACGACCAACTACAATGAAACGATACTCACCAAACCGTGTCGTTGAGCGTCGACATAGCCGGGGAAAAGTAGAAGGCTAAAATAGATGGCGGTCCACACGGTAGCCAAAGGAAGCAACCGCGAGCTTCTCCTAGGTCGACCGTCTAAAGAAAGCCATGCCGTGAAACGACAGTGTACTCTCTCGCGCCATTCCGGACACGCGTATGGCCTCGAGAATCTTCGCAAATGCCACCTAACTAGTTTATTCGACTTCCATCGCACACGCAGCGGCATGATGCTGAATCACTGATACAGCGGCGTATGCAAAATGAGTCTACGCAGAGCATTCGAAATCAACTAGATACAGCTTACCATTCCGATATGCCATGCTTCCAGTGGCCAACACTTCGCTGAGACCTGTGAATATCACAAATCAAAGGAAGGCTCATGAGCAGTATGGATGTGATAGTCAAACACACCGTTGTGTGCCCACACGGCGACCGTGACGCTCAGCCAAAATATGCCATGCACGTGATCCAACTTTCAAGAAGATCGCCGCCACTGACATTGATCTTGGCAGTCTGGTAGCCTGTATACGCTCTAAGCCTTCGTCCACGACCACCTCCTCTATCACTTAACATCTCTGCTAGTTTCCTGACTACTTAGGCTTGTCTCTGCCCTTATTTCTCAAACTCCTGCGACAATATGGATCTATTCGCATTTTTGGATGAGGCTGCTCCCGAAGATGTGCCTATGGACGTGCAGGCAGAGAACAGTACGGCCAATGGTCACTCGGACAGGCGGAAACGCAAGGCAGAGTCTCCAGCACCGTCAAGATCCCCTACTCCAGTGGCTAGTTCGCAAGAAAGGGACGGAGCACCAGAGGAGGGTCCTCCCACAAAGAGGCCGCGTGTAGCCTCGCCAAAACCCATGGTCGTGGACGAGGTCGAGATTGAAGCGAAGCGAGAAGTTGCTGCCAGCGCGGGCCTCACTGGGGGCGCAGAGGGTGGGCTGCGTCTTGAGCTTAAACATCAGGTGAGTCTGTTCGCGAAGACGAGCGTTCGGTTAGGGCTTGAGAACAGGCTGAGCCTCGTGTTGGCTTATTTCTGCCTGAAGTATGCAATGGTCTAGCCTGTTCGTCTTATCTGGCTCGCAGCCTGAACTCTTCGCCGAGGCGCTAGCCTCCACGGCTGTGCGCAGACACTGAGTACTGAGCACGTACACCTAGGTCCGGCACCAAGTCGCAGTCCCCCCTGGATACCCATACGTGCCAATAGCAAATCATGTCCCTCCAGCAAAACCGGTGCGGGAATACAAGTTCACACTGGATCCTTTCCAACAAGTCTCCGTCCACGCAATACAACGAAACGAGAGTGTATTGGTCTCTGCTCATACCAGTGCTGGAAAGACGGTCGTAGCGGAGTATGCTATCGCACAATGTCTTCAAAGCAAGCAGCGTGTCATCTACACGAGTCCCATCAAGGCTAGTAGTCACGTCCCTGTACCGTACCTTCACGTCCCAATGAAAATTTCTGTAGGCCCTGAGTAACCAGAAATACCGAGAAATGTTAGCTGAGTTCGGCGACGTCGGTCTGATGACCGGGGACGTCACGATCAACCCTTCAGCGACATGTCTAGTGATGACAACCGAAGTACGTCCCTCCACTCGGATATCGTGTACTGTACTCATGCGAAATGCAGATTCTACGTTCCATGCTGTACAGGGGCTCCGAAATCATGCGGGAAGTCGCATGGGTCATCTTGACGAAATCCATTATATGCGCGACAAGGAACGTGGCGTGGTCTGGGAGGAGACCATCATCCTTCTACCGCACACTGTACGCTACGTCTTCCTGTCCGCTACGATTCCGAACGCCATGCAGTTCGCGGAGTGGATATGCAAGTCGCACGAGCAGCCCTGTCACGTCGTGTACACCGACTTCCGACCGACGCCACTGCAACACTACCTGTTCCCTGCGGGCGGCGAGGGCATCTACCTCGTAGTCAACGAGAAGAGCGAGTTCCGAGAGGACAATTTCAGCAAGGCTATGGGCATGCTACAGGAGAGGCAGGGCGATGACCCCGCGGACCCGAAGAGTGGGAAGGGTCGCAAGGGGAAGTCCAAGAAGGGTGGCGACAAAAAAGGTGAGAGACATCGCACCGCTGCCGGAAGTCTGCTAACGTCCCCCAGGCTCGTCGGACATCCAGAAAATCGTAAAGATGATCATGCTGAAGAACTACAACCCGGTCATCATCTTCGCCTTCAGCAAGCGCGAGTGCGAGGGCCTCGCGCTGACCATGTCTAAGATGGAGTTCAACTCGACGGACGAGCAGGATCTTGTCACGAGCATCTTCAACAACGCGATTGACAACCTCGCGGAGGACGACCGCAAGCTCCCGCAAATATTGAACCTCTTGCCCCTTCTGAAACGCGGTATCGGCATTCACCACGGCGGGCTTCTCCCCATCTTGAAAGAGGTCATAGAAATTCTCTTCCAAGAGGGTCTCATCAAGGTCCTCTTCGCAACAGAAACGTTCTCCATCGGGCTCAATATGCCGGCTAAGACGGTCGTCTTCACCGCCGCACGTAAGTTCGACGGGCGGGAGTTCCGCAACCTGTCGTCGGGCGAGTACATTCAGATGTCCGGGCGCGCCGGCCGTCGTGGCCTCGACGATCGCGGCGTGGTCATCATGATGTGCGACGAAAAGCTCGAGCCGAGCGCAACGAAGGAGATGATCAAGGGCGAGGCGGACCGGCTCGACTCCGCGTTCCACCTCGGCTACAACATGGTGCTCAACCTGATGAAGGTGGAGGGTATCAGCCCCGAGTTCATGCTGGAGCGATGCTTCTTCCAGTTCCAGAGCAGCATGGGAGTGCCGCTGCTCGAAGACGGTTAGTGTCCCTACCAGCTACCGCGCGTGGCGATACGACTGCTGATATGTGCGTTCGATGACAGAACTTCGCCGCGAAGAAGAGCGGAAGCAGTCGATTGTAGTCGCTGACGAGGAGAGCGTTGCGGAGTATTACGAATACCGCCAGCAGCTGGATCAGATGGGCCAGGACTTCAGAGACGTCATCACGCACCCGAACTACAGCCTCCCGTTCTTCCAGCCCGGCCGCCTGGTGTGGATCAAGTATAAAGACCTCGACTTTGGCTGGGGCGCTATCGTCAACTATCAGAAGCGCCTGCCGCCGAAGGTTCGTGACCGCGTTGTCAGACCACCCTGTGCACGGCCGCCATGGCTAACGTTTGTCATACCAGAACGTGCCCGTTGCGGGATTGGATGATGTACCGCCGCACGAACAGTACATCCTGGATGTCGTTCTGAGATGCGCCGAGAGTTCGTCATTACCGAAGGACCGGAACATCACTGTTGCGACACCTGGCGGAGTGCAGCCATGTTCGAAGGGCCAGAAGGGCACCCCGCTCATTGTCCCTGTGTTCCTCTCGACAGTCAAGGCAGTCAGCCGCTTGCGTACCAACCTACCGAAGGACCTACGCCCTCTCAATGCCCGTGAGACCGTGCAGAAAATCGTGCAGGAGGTTGAGCGCCGCTTCCCTGACGGTCCTACTCTGCTCGACCCCGTACAAGACATGGAGATTAATGACGACAAGTTCAAGGCCCTCGTGAAGAAGATTGACCTCATGGAGAGCAAGCTAGTCTCGTCTCCTTTACACAAGGATCCGCGTCTCCCTGAGCTGTACACCGCGTACAAGCGCAAGCAGGAGTGTCAAACGAAGATTCGCGAGCTGAAGAAGCGGATACAGGCGACGAATGACGTGCTTCAGATGGAGGAGCTCAAGTGCAGAAAACGCGTGCTCAGGCGGTTAGGCTTCACGACGAGCGCCGACATCGTGGACATGAAGGGACGAGTTGCGTGCGAGATCAGCACAGGCGATGAGCTCCTATTGACAGAGCTGATCTTCAACGGCGTCTTCAACCCGCTGAGTCCGGAACAATGCGCAGGGCTCCTGAGTTGCTTCGTATTCACGGAGAAGGTGTGTCCACCTCACCGTTCAGGCACTTCTTTGCGGAAGTAATGTGAACAACGACGAGCAGAGCGAACAAGTCACCAAGCTGAAAGAGGAACTTGCTGCCCCTCTGCGCGTCATGCAAGAGATTGCACGGCGGATCGCCAAGGTGTCAAAAGAGTCCAAATTGCCGATCAACGAAGACGACTACGTGAAGTCGTTCAAAGTCGAACTCATGGACGCAGTTGTGCAATGGTGCCGCGGTGCATCATTCGCAGATATCTGCAAGGTCCGTCCTTCCGCTCCTTCCATGCCTCTTGTTGTACCTGTCGGATCTGACGCTCTGCCTTGTGGTGCAGCTCACGGACCAGTTCGAAGGATCGCTCATCCGTGTATTCCGCCGTCTCCAGGAGCTTATCCGGCAGATGGCCCAGGCGGCGAAGGTCATTGGGAACAGCGAACTGCAAGAAAAGTTCGAGAAGGCGAGCGAGATGCTCGAAAGGCCGAACTCCGTCATCTTCTGCTCGTCCCTGTATCTCTAGAAGCTCAAGAAGCTTCCGTCATGACTCATCGTCGGTCTGCATGTTTTCGTAGAGCTACATTGGATGTGTTTGTCATTTGCAGTATTCTTTACCACAGTACAGCCCGTGTACGCCTGTTCACATGCCCAGTTGCAGAGTTATATGTAGCGTAACAGGATTGCTTCATGCCGATGTCCTTTAGTCCAATCTGCCGCACGTCTAGCACGCACCCTCATCCACCCAGACACCAGCTGTATTGATTTCCTGTCAGCTTCGCTGTTTCACTCGACATTTCGAATCAACGCACCTGAGCCGCCCGGGGTATCGCCGTTGGTCCACCACTGTGCTGACCAGAGATCGCCGTTGTACGTAACATCGTCTCCTGCGTGTACGTCGCAGACGCCTCCATGCGCTGCCTGCTGCACGCCTACTGTACCAGTGTCGTCGGGCTGCTCGTGCTCGAGACTGTTGTGCTAGCAGTGGCTGTGCTGGACGCGGTCGCCGTGGACGAGGCCCCACTCATGTTATCCGCGATGTTCGTCCACTCACTGTCGGAGTAGCTGCACGATACAATGTCAGCGAGGAATTCGCCAGAAAGTACCACAACGAGAAACGCACTCGATGTGGTTCTGCGTCTGGTCGAGGCCTCCATACACCTGGCTCGTAGTGTATACGAGCGAGTCCGAGCCGGTCTTGTCCGTGCTGAGGTCCCAGAACATGGAACCCGCGAGGCCATTGCTGATGACGTATTGCGCCTTCGCCTTCGCGATATCTGGCGTATCGTAGCTGACAAACTCTCCCTTGGAGGAGTCATACGAGTACGACGCGACCGACGTGTAGTTATTGTACACGGATGCACCCGAGAGAGGGAGCGTGTCGTAAGAGTAGATGCCCGCTTGGATCGTACCCGGCCCCACTCCGTTGTAGGGCGCGCCGAGACCGGTCGTGTTCTCAAACGCACGGCCGTACAGCGGAATGCCTATTCGATGTGAGCTCAGATTGTTAAGACTAGCATGACGCCGCGCACCCATGGTTATCTTGCTCGCGGTCGCGCCCTGCGAGAGGTACCACTTGATGGCGATGTCCGTACTGACATTTGTGAGCGAGGCATCGTAAATGTTTGCCTGGTTCGCAGTGATATTGAGCCACGATCCAGCGTAATCGTACGCCATGATATTCCAATACGTGATTGCTGCGTCCATCGTGGGCACGTCCAAGTACTGGTAGTTGGGCTCCCCCGCGGGTGACGCGACCTACACCATCTCAGCACTTTCAGAGTGAGCGAACGAGCAATAGACGCACAGTGATCTGATAGGGCGTGCTATCGCCCTTCCTCTGAGCGAGCGCATCGAACGCCGTGCGGAGCCCGTGAGCAAGCTGGCGAAGCCTGAGGCAAGCTCAGGCGTATTCGGATACTCAAAGTCGATATCGAGCCCATCGAGCCCGAAGTTCTCGATGTACGACGTCGCGGAAGAGACGAAGGCCGAGCGGAGCGAAGAGTTCGTGACGAAGCTGAAGTGGCCGTCCTGCGAATATGTCCAGCCGCCGACGGAGAGGAGCACCTTGAGGTTCCGGTTCGCGAGCTTTAGCAGATACATCTGCGGATGCACAAGTGTAAGTTGACGTGGATTTCGCACAGACCGGGACACACCTGCTTCAAGCACCCATACAGGTTGTTCCCAGACTCATCCCACGAGTCACCGGGGTAGTGCTTCTGCTCGTCCGCGTACGAGTCCGTGAGCGCGATCTCGCCCGTGGTGGGAGACACGTCCGCGAACGCGTACATGATGTGCGTCAGGTCGCTCGGCGTGATGTTCGTTGGCTGGAAGTTCGCGCCGTAGATGCCCCTACGCCCACCGCAACCGCGTCAGTCACACGATCGACGGGGTGTGCATGGGCACGCACCAGTTGGTGAAGTACGCGGCTTGCACGTATCCGCCGTCCGCGCGCTTGCTGATCGTCTGTGGCTCCGGGTCGCCCATCGCGTACTCCCGCGGCGGGGACATGTAGTCCCCGGGCGCTGCATCACCTGCGTCGCCCCTGCACACCAGAGGGCGCCGAGTGCGAACAGCGTGGACAAGAGTGTAGAGCGTGCCATGGCAAGCGAGAACCGAGGGGTCGGAGGCGGGATGGCAGCGTCCGGGCCTGGTGAAGTCCCCCGATGTCGAGCGCGAGCACGGGCGTCCAGGCGGGGCGAGCGGGTTCCCCGGGCTTATAAGCTCGCCCGGGGCGTGCTTGTAGAATCCATGCGCGGACGTGTGCCGCAAGCTTCGTGTGCTTCGCCGTGTGCTTCTCGAGCGGACGTGCACCCGACCACCCGGTCGCTACCCGTACCGGGTGGTGAGCTAGGCATGCCACCAGAGATTGCCCGACTAGTCCAGGGCAGCAATACTGAACGGTACGGACGAATATAGGTCCATGCGATCCCCGAGCGTCTTGGCAGTCACAATAGGATATAGCATGCGAGCGCAGTCACGGCAGGGCGACGGATGGGAATAGGTGGACGAGGGATCCGGAGACCTCGCGGAGCGATGATTGTCGCGCAGTCTCTGCGTGGTACTGCTGCCTGGACGCTATCTAACGTGGCTGAACGAGTAGTACGGCCTGCGTTGGTGTCTATCAGATGGTCAACAGCAAGATAAGCTAGCTGCAAGACTGCATACTTACGTGCCGAGCAGTCAGAAGCACCGAGGGAGAACACGCCCGGGACACTGATAAGCACGGAAGGTGCCCGCGAGGGTGATGGGCAGTATAAAACTGGCATGCGTGGGGGTAGTAACCAGCGGGCGGACCGCATACCTGGGAAGATAGCACGGTTGTGATCAGTATATCGAGCTTCCTCGTTCAGTCTACTGACACGGCAATGCACTTAAGCTCGCCTACGCCAGTTTAGCACGGCGTCCACATATCTATCAGTAGTCTCACCGACAGTGATCCACCAACCAGTCGCCCTTGTTCTTGTAGGCGGGGCGTACGCGAGCAATGAATTGACCACAGGCGAGCCTATGGCCACTTTCAGACAACTGCATGGTCTTCTAGGGCTGCATGCGGGCTTTGTGACACCAGCATGCTACTGGCATTTGATTAATTACTCACCTGGCGTGCTCAAGTGGTCTTCGTTCTCCTGGGCCGCGAGACCAATCAACAACCCGCCTGTCTGAGCAGCATGGATCGTGAGCGTACGACATCGAATGCATAGAACAAAGGCAGTTCACACCATAAAAGGGCACCTCTTCTCGCCGCGCAACGACCGTGTGGTCGCTGCGATAAGTTGAGCTCGTGTGATCAACGTGATAGATTCTTGACTCGGAGTCGCCGCAAGGCACTACGTTGTTGGCGATCCGAATGGAGTCCTCGAACATCCACACTCTGCAACGGCAGGACCACGAAGATTATCAAAGAGAACGAGTGCATATCGTAGGACAAGAGACTGGACGCTATGAAGCCAGATGCCAGCTGTGGCAAAGACGCGTGAGGTAGCTTTGGGCGCTCGTCAAGGTTGTCGCCTCCAAGAAGCGCCGTGCCGCACATGTATCGTTCGAACTGAACGTGAACACTCTGAATGCACTGATATTCTTGAAGAATGTACATACGTTACGAAACAAGAGACTCATCTGGATCTCTCGTTGTCGGGGAAGGCGTATCGGAGAGCAGACCGTACACAAAGGTGTTACGCGTAGCGACCCGGAGGTGGTCGACAGAGTCGTTTTCATATCGCCAAATCCCCCGCATAGAGAGCACATCAACCTTCAAGCTCCAATGGAGGGAACAGTAGCTGTACGTCATTGGTCGGACATAAGTGCTTGCGTGTAGGACGTCGATTTGGGCACTGTAGCAGAGTCATTAGGCGCACTCAAATATCGCAACACTTACCGCAATACGTGACAAAAAGACTGGAGCAAAAACTCACCATAATGTTGTTAAGTTCGTCTGGCAGTACCTGGCAGTGGATTGTAATCGAACAATGAGGGCGATGGATCGTATTCGGACATGGAATAGACCATGAGGAAGCGTAGCATGCGATTGCGGTCATAGTCATAATATGCGATACAAGGCGTAAACGGACAGAGACGGAGAGAAATCATACGACAGTACCCGCGTTCGACGCAATACGCGGCCATAGATCCGCCTGGGCACAACGGTTAGAACTCATCGCAGCATCAGAGCTGAGCAACGCACGCATTCTTTTGCTACAGGGCCAGTGATGGCCGACCCTTCATCTCACCCTTGGGATTGACAATCACACCAGCGTTGTCCTACGAGCGAAGTTAGCATACGAATGGGGGACGACCCGCCAGCGTACCTCGAAGTAGAGACGAGACCCTCTCGCCGCGCCACGACTTGCGCTGCCGGATAACACAATGGGCATCGCTAAGGACAAGAACCCATTATCCCAGTTCAGCGTTCCAGAAGTAAGACGTACTCTTCTTCCTGAGTCGGGCTTTCCCTTCTTCACCGACGCAACAACCATGTCGCCCACACCTGCATCCGGGAGACGGTTAAGGTGCGAGCCCGTCCCGTACGCCTCAATCAAGAAGAGCGACTTCGCGCCGCTATTGTCGGCGCAGTTGAGGACCGCGCCCGTCGGGAGACCGAGGGTCAGACGGAACTTGTTGCCAGATGCACCCGCACCTGTACGCGATGAGTACGCCAATATACGAGCAATTGTGCTAGCGAACATACCACGCTTGGACATTTTGCTGGATGATTTGAGGACGGAGGCGGACTGCTGGCGGACTGGCTCGGTTGTGAGTATCTGCAACGGTTGTGGCAAGGTTTCGTGCCGACACGTGCCGAAGGCTCCTGTATAGTTGTTCGGTACTTGCCGGTGGCAGCATCGCCCGCAGTGGCACCCTACCCTAGGGTTTATCACTTCCTTCTGAAACTACAGTTCTCAAATGCGCTGGCTGTTTTCGTGGTCAAATTGCCGTACGGTTCCTGAGCGTCCTACGAATATTCGCCCCGACAAGCTTGCGTTGTGCGTGCGCAGTCCGCGATCTGCACCTTTACGCTGGATGCGACGAGGGACAAATGTGAACATGGAAATAATATCCGTCACCACGCATTCACGGCACAGTCTGGCAACAAACAACATTGACAGGATCAACAAGCCTACGCAACGATATGCATAGGTTGCGCTTCTGCAGTGTGCGACATTGAAGAAACATGATCAACTAATTCACGATGCAATAATACGTCGGACCCCACAATCGTACCGGGCACTGACGCGAATGCTTTCTCTTTCTCTTTTGGAAGAGCTCCTGCTTGCGTTTCGGAGCCTTCACGACCCTATTGGCGATTAGTTGAGATGGTCGCCCTGAATACAACTGCACAACGCTGTAGGTTCATCGTTCGCTGTCCGCACGCCCCTCGGTGTGTTACTATAAGTAATTTGACGTTGTCCCTCAGGCCTCAACGTTCAACGGTTCATTTCATGGTGCGTTCCTCGATGTATTCACTGCTACATTTTACCGAATGATCAGTTAAACTCCAGTCATCGGTCAACATCCGACCAAGGGTACGCGATGTATTGTTGGTGTGCTGACATGCCTTCGCGCGCGTAGCGGCGAGGACCATTCGTTCTCCTGACAACAGGCGCTCCTACGGCAAATACACCTCTACATAGTACCAATGATTGGACATACGTGCTCTCGCGGTTTACGAGCACCGATGCAAGGACGTGTCTTGCTCGAGATCCGGCGACATGCACGCATCTGCATCCATGTTAATTTCTTTAGCTGTCATAAGCATCTCGTGGGTCGTGGCATTCACAGATCAGCTAAGAAGTCGCTCAAGTGTGCGGCTGGTGCCGCATGTTAGGACACCACCGAAACCAAGCTCGTGAGTTTTGGCTTCCGCCGCTTGCGGTTCACAGCAATTCATTTCTCTCCTCTCAGACAACGGATGACACGCGGATGATGCTCCGATCCTCGATGTGCGATACCTACAGAAACCTGGCAGTTCTTTTAGAACGCTGCCTGATGTTGCAGGCGCTGACGTGTGTACTCACTCGTCTTGGGACGGTATGGAACCTACTGATTTCAAATCACATACTGTTCGCAGATATCGCGTTCCCTGTCGAAGTCGCCTTCTACCGCTCGGACCTTGGCCCTGCTCGTCCACCCCGACAGCTTTCGTGGAGTCGGTTTGGCATGTCGAAGCCATGCCAGCCAGCCAAGCACGGATTCATACAGTATGCTCCTCATGTGTCGATGAGTGAGCGCCCGAGGGCTTGAACTATAGACTCAATGATTCTCATACATAGAACATGTGGACGTGTGTCCAACGCCACGTTTGTGCGGGTCGTGCAAGTTGCGAACGTACGAGATACCACGTAACCGTTTGATAGGTCCCAATCATGATGAACGTGAGCACCCTGTCGTACGTTAATACAGCGGAGTCTGCTGAGTTCGAGTTTGTCCGTATCTATATGTTGTCGAGCAGTGTCGTTGACGCATAGCCTGGTCATAATCGCCGGTTCTAGGGCTGACCTGAACATTTCAGACTGTGAACTTGGTTTCCTCGGCAAACGCAGAGCACATGAATTGGCGCTTGTGCACCCACTGCCTTCTAGCTCTATGTAAAGGAAACCCATCGCATCCCTGACTCTTTTGATACTGAAGATTCCCAGGGGGTTCGCACCGACGGTATCGGAAGTGAAACTTTATTGATGACCGTTTTGATAGACTTGGAATGATACCAGGCAAGCAAGCCTTCGTCGAACACGAAGCTTCTTTGTTCATATACCGCATGAAACCCATATCTGTGCGTCCACTTACGTTGAAGACAGTTGTATTTCAACCCTCTTACTAATGCACCCTTGTTCGGCAGGCTCGGACTCAGTATGTACTGACTCCTTGTGCGCATACTGTGTCTCTGCGTCTATCTGCATGCGTTCTTCACCGCAGGAGCCTCGAGAAGACACAGGCCTGCGGTTTGTGGTTCTGATCCAGGTGTGAGGGTTGAAACTCTGTTTCCCATGTACGCAACGAATGCTCAAGACCCTGGCATGGTTATATGTCGCCTCTCGCTGCCATACATCCTCACACTCACAGACACATCCTTTTTCATACGACTTTACGGGAGACAGGCACTACAACATCGTACCAATGGTGATGCACATCCAAGTCGACAAGCTCGTGTCCTCTTTTGAACATTCTATGTGAGAATGCGCCTAGGTCTGTACAGCCGAAGCATTATTGACATCTGCATGTCAGTTTTGCCTCTCTAGAATCACACCTCTCCCTGCCTCACTCACATATCGCTGGCGATAGAGAATGGTACGCAATTATTCGTGGCAGGTATACGCTGAAGCTGATGCACTCACGAAGTAGCCGCGACATCGATCCCATACCCAGGACAACTACACCCGACAGCGGCTACAGCTCAGAGCTTGAGTACGGCGGATTTGATTAGGTTGGAGTCACGCGCTGACCTTACCAAGTGGGGAACTTGCAGAGCCGCTGCTCGTGGATGTCGATCGTGCTTCTGGCAGTCCCGAGCCCAGAAATGGTCCACGTATATTCGCATTCGTGGTGGCCGTCAACGAATACCACTCTCCGAGTGTCCCCAACTTGTCGGGATGCGTCAACGATGCTCAGGATTTCATGGACTACTTGGAACAGGTCCTCGGCGTACCGAAATCGAGGATTTCGAAGCTGATCAGCGGAGAGGCCACCCGTTCCGCTATCATCAACAAGTTCAAGTCCCATTTCTGGGACAATCCAGACATCCACCACGGCGATGCTCTCGTTTTCTTCTTCTCCGGGCATGGCAGTTATGCTCCTGCACCGAAGGACTGGCCTGCCCAGAATGATCTAATAGAGCTGATTTGTCCGTACGACTACATGCACGCGGACAATAACGACAAGTACGGGATATCTGACCGAACGCTTGACGGGCTTATGCGGACGCTGGCGGCCCGCAAGGGTGACAACATCGTACGTTCGCGCCTTCTCGTTCATGTTCGTCGAGAGTGACTCATCGTTTCTGACCGCGACTAGACGGCTATCCTCGACTGTTGCCACTCTGGAGGGATGGCAAGGGAGCTAGATCCCCGGGCCGCGAGGACAGACCTCTCCCACCCCGAGTCGGTGAGGTCTGCGCCAAGTTGTTCTACGCCTATCCCTCCGACCCTAGACCAGGACCATCCCGCAGACCGAACTGTATCCTGGGAAGTCCCGTCAGCATACAAGGCGACGCCAACATACGTCCTGTTGGCTGCGTGTCGCGCCAGTGAGAAAGCCAAGGAAATGCGTTGCTCATACAACCCACCTGGAGGCGGGTCGCTAGAGAACGTCCGCGGCGCGTTTTCCGCTAATCTGATCCGGACACTACGCATCACTGGGAAGGAGAGGTTGGGAGCGCTCACGTATGCGCATTTGATGGACGATCTGCCGCGTCGTGCGATTCACCCATTCCCCTCGCTCCTTGAGCAACACCCGCAGTGCGACGGCATCCACAGTGATAGGGTGCTCTTCAGCACGCGTCGAATTCCGGATGCCCCCGACTCATTCATCCTGATCAGACAAGGGCACACTTGGCGCGTGCAAGCCGGGACAATCCATGGAATTACCGAGGGGACACAATTCGCTTTATCTTCAACGCTTTCGGGGATACAAGCAAAAGGTGAAGTGAAACTCGAGGCGGAGAATGTGTGGCCAACGACATGCGAGGCGGAGAATGTGTGGCCAACGACATGCGAGGCGCCGTGCAGCTCGGCCGGTGTAGAGCTCGATTCCTCGATCCCTCAGCGAGTGGTCGTCACACATTGGAACCAGCCGATTTCGCTCGCCACGCGCGTGTATGTCCGTCGCACCCCCGGGGACGATGGTCTTGCTATCAATGCCAGGGCGCTCTATCGAGTGACGCATGACGAGTCGGACGCCCGCGACCTAATCCTAGGTGCCATTCCGGGTGGTTGGCGTCTCGAGAGGTTCGATCCACTCGTCACACATTTCTACGGCAGCGCTCGTGTTTTGGAGGTTGCTGGCAGCTCGTCGGCGCATGCAACACGCGTTCTGGACGCGGTTTCCCGTTTCAACTTCCATCTATACCGGTCTAATGTGGACGTTGCAATCGACAAGGAACTCTGCCTAACCGTCCAAATGCACGCTCTGGAGGAAGTGGTGGAGATGGCCTGCGCACATGGAAGCAGTCGCACATTCATCTCGGCCGCGGAGAAGAGGTCGCCCTTCGCACTGTGGAAAGCATGACATCGATCTGCTGCCAACACTGTGACGTTGCTTGCTGCTCTAGGAATGCTGGTGGCCAAAGGAGGGCTGACTGTGGTCACTTCCATATGTCAAAGCCTGTGAAGGAGGCGGTGATAACGGACTGCGATCGCCTCTACGGCTTCACGGTGGTCAACGATTCGGCGATTGATCTCTTTCCATATGTGTACTTCTTTGACCCGAGTACCTACGCTGTCAAGGTGCGTGCCCTGAGTTTTCTCTACTGAGATTGAGCTCTCACATACCGGCACAGTTGCTGTATTCACCCCGATGGAGCACCTGTGAAGCACCTCTACCAGTCAACGGCAGCATTCATATTGGCTATGGCGGATTCGGTACCAATCCTCTGCGAGTCACTCGGCCAGAAATCCATTCCGACAACACCGTGGGCTTCCTCAAAATATTCGTCTCCACGTGCTATGTCGAGCTGAACATCCAGCAGCCTCCCCTATTCGACTCACCGGAAAAGGTGGTACATCTGGACCAAATTCCTACGTGTCAACCACCGGTCAGGGAAGGACATCCTCACCCCATCGCTATGCAGCACAACTGGAATACGTGGACCTACGTTCTGACGTCGCGGGCGACACAAGACGTATGACGGCCATGTGTATCTGAATCGCTTCGATATAAGTCTATGCCATTTGTGATGTACTACAGTACCTGTAACTTTATGGTCCCATCGCTCGTCAATCACAGACATGTCACATACAATGGAACAGGTGTCGGAAGTTGGCATGGAGCACCACGTCTTCCAAGCGTACGCCGAAGCGGCGTGAATGGTTTTACGCATTCTGCAAGCACGAACGATCCTCTGCTGCATGACCACACGCCGGACTCGGAACTGGCACCGTTCAAGCTCGACAGTGTTGACTGTTCCCAACGCTGACAAACATGCACTCGAAGAATAATGTGGCTCTCGCGCTGTGGTCGTCCAGAGTTACAGGCGGAAAGGTGGGGGCCACAGGATGTTGACGCTTCGGGACAGGAGACCAACACTGGTGCCTGCCATCGAAGGGTCCGCACTATAAACTGTGTTCCGGCAGCTGCGTATGAGGTCTGCGCGAGGCAGGTTGGGCACCGAGCCCTGCGACTCGCTGCGCGCTCGACCGGCCGCTCCTGACATGTTGAACGCGCTTCCTGTGGGGCGACGTCCGGTATGGCCACTGAACTGGGATGCTGATATACAGTATGTAGCACATTGCGTATGACCCAAGGCGGGCATAAGACTCATCGAAGTGTGCAGTCCTACACTCGCATTGGGACCAGGCCGTACTCGTCGAGGCAAGGAAACGGGGGATGCGGACGCACAAGCAGAATGATGAAAGGGGAGGTACCGGCCCGCCGCGTGCTGCCTGTAGATGCTGCAGGATGGTTTATCCAGCACTTTGTCACGCCGTGAACAAATGGTCCGTGTCTCCGTCCAGATGACAACCCTGTTTCCTTTGGCATCAGAACCGAGCGGGAGAAGGACGAGTCAATAGCGCGTAGCCTGTGCACAAATCAGACTGCTGAAGTCCATGACGATAGTGGAACATACCGGGGTCAGACGTGGGCCACCTTGAGGCAGAGATCGCCAGTGAGAACAAAGACACGACTCAGTGGATGGAATAAGACACTCTGGCTAGCGTCACACAGGCCATGGATATGAGATGACAGACACAGACAACGCGATGCCCTCGAGGTATCGCACGCTTGCGCGTGTGGGCGATGATACGAGCGCAAAGGATCATATCAATGCGAGTACCTGATGCGGCGACAGGCCGGGAATGTTGATATCGTTCGCGTAAATGATACAATTACAAGACAGACTACCTGTGCATTAGTCCCATGTCAGACCGTCGCGTAACGAGTCCATAAGAAGGCTACTTACCCCATGAGATGACCTTCACTTGGCTTTCTTGACTATACGCACGCCCGCGAGCGGTGTGTTCTTCTTCGGCGGATCCATACGCGCAGCAGGCGACCCTGATGCTGACATGGTCGGGGACAGCGTAGCCTTAACTAAGGGCAACGACGGGAGATGCTGCTGAGGTTTCTTGGGTAGGACGGACTGGCGCCGAGACGGGGACGGAGCCGTAGCAAAGGTGGCAGATCCTTCGACAGGCTTGGGCGGTAGCGATGGGTGCAGGCGCGGCGTTGACGCGTCCATGGACGACTTCTCCAATTCCCGCAATTTCGCCTCCATCCGAGCGATCTTTGCGTCTGTGCTGGGAGACGAGGACTATTGGCCAAGTGCAGCGAGGATGACGGCACGATACTCACAGGTCTGATCGGCCGGTGGATGCGCTCTTCAGCAGGCTTAGCGTCGTCGGCTTCCCCGCATCGTTCATGATCCTCCTCGGTCGCGCGCCGAACTGCCCGCCTTGATCGAGTGGCGCTTGATGTGCATGGGTGATGACGAGTTTCCTCCCGCGCAACAGCTTATCGTTCGCGCGTTCGAGTGCCTTCTGAGCGTCCTGTAAGGCAGAGAGACAGGACACAGTCAGCGAGGAGTTCTTGTCGCATCTCGCCGCCGCTTCAACCCCGGGTTTCACTGTACCATCCAAGCATGGGATGTCAATGATGGCGTCGTGCGTACATATGAGAAGAGACACCCGGGGTCAGCAAGCGAGATTGTCCGAGCAAGTAGAACGGACGTACAATTGCATCGGCGAACTCGACGAAGGCATATCCGCGGGGCTTTCCTTTGAAGGGACCCGTCTTGTGGAACAAGAAGTCGAGCTTGGACACTTTGCCGAACTTTGTGAAGACCTGCAGCAGTGTGTACCTGATCTATGTAAATCAGGTCTCCCATAGCGTTGAGAACGACGCACTCATCGACGGTCGGATGCAAGTTCCCAACGTAGAGCCTTTCCTTCGACACTGGCCGCGGTCGTTCTCCCTGCGATGTCGAAGTCGACGCAACAGGTGATGCTGGAGCCGGGTAAGACAGATGACTGGATGAATCTAGGTTTTCAGCCGTAACAGACGAGCTCGATGGCGTCGGCGACGGCGTGGCCTGCGCTGAGGACATGATGGTTGAAGACAACCTGCGCGCGCCTATGTGCGGGCACGTTTGTGCCGTCCTCCCATGTCCATTCTACTACAAGTTCAATATGCTCCTTGTTCTGTTCCAACGAACCCCAGTATACATCTAAACGAGTAAGGTTGAACTCGGACTAGTAGCTCATCATATTTGTCGATATGGTTTGAAAATGTGTACGTGGAGGTACGTGGTCGTCTCGTCCTGGAGTCGTCAATCTCATGTCGTATGACACCGGCCAGTACCTAGTCTCTCTCGGCAGGCGTAGACGATTCATTCAGCCTTCGTGCCTCAGGATATCATTGTCTGACCAGCAGCGAGGCGTCGCTAATTTGCTATACTCGTTCTCCGCAATCATAATCTTCTGCCGCGAAGTGGGTGATGGAGGTCGAGCCGCAATATCGGGCTAGGTCGCGGAATCGATTATAGCATGCAGGTGGAAAGAACAACCTCGTACTGCTGCCAATCTCCTACGAACATCCAAGGGACTCATGGTGTGCTATATGACATCTCATGCGCTGGGTGAGTACGTATGTCCTCGTGTTGCGGTTGGCCAGTAACGCCAGAGCTTTTCTAAGCGACTTCCACCAATTCGTGGCCTGAAGCTAGTGTCTCACTTTGGCCATGACTGTGTCTGTTCCGCGCATTACTGCGCATGAGGTTGGCATGAGGCGTTGATGCCTCCTCCCAGATGCGCTAGACCCAGTCACGCCAGTATGCGGACTGTTGCAGACAATCTCTACGATGTACATATGAAAACGGTAAGTCACCTTTCCGTAAAGCCCAGATCCAAGATTTCATTGGTCGTGACTCTGGTAGTGATCATCAACAATACGTGCTATATTACCGCGGAAGACCCGTTCCGGACCCGTAAAAACGCACAAAGTCGTTCAACTACGAATGACGTCCGAGATCCACAGCGATCATGGATGCTCATGGACGCCCGCCTCGAGGCCAGTCCGAGCATTCAAAATCGGATCGGGAGAGTCATCCTGGCTGCTTAGGGCGACATGGGAAACTCGATGCGTCTCGATACACGTGTGTGTTCATCTGGGGACTCTACTCGTCTCCTGCCATCCACGATTCCTACCTTTTCGGTCTCCTTGGTCGACACGCTACCTCGGAGCGTTCTCCATCCCTGAACGCAGGCTCGCCACTCGTGCCACTGGACTTCCAAACTTCATCTCCCCCTTCTCCGCCGAGACACATGGTCCTCGTGTGCCTTCGTTCCGACCTCGTCGGGGATTCCAGCACCTCACCGCGCAGGCCCAACATAGACCGCCCGATCGCTCATCGTGTGCGCATGGGACTTTGTGACCCGTTGTCGGTCGGAAGTCAGGACGCTCGTGGGATCTGTGCGTGAGGTTGTTGTGCGCCCGTGCTTCCTTTGTGGTTCACGGTCCTCATTGCACCGCAGTATGTGCGTCTATCTCGCTCGCAGATCGCGGCAGATCATGATCCCCAGTCTCTCTGCTACTTATGCACCAGATGGTCCGAGATCTTCGCCGTCCTGCTGCGTCACCCGGCAGGCTTAGGGCTCTGGAACTATCAGAGAAACGACTCTGCTCATTGTAGCTTCGTGCCTAGACCAGGAGGCGAGCAGGCAGCACAGCTACCACTTCCAATGATTTAGCATCGGACGGATCATGTTCTTGCGATATCATGATAGCAAGCGGACGATGGACGCTCTTCCGCGAACCAGGGATGTGGGCTTGATAGAGGTGAGTTAGATCAATGCGATTACTGTATAGCAGCCAGCGTAACACTTGCCTGATGCACAGCAAACTGAAAGCAATGCGATTGCGAGCAGGTAGAAAGCAAGATACAAGCGAGTACAGACATTGTTCGAACGCGGATACACAACATGTTGACCAAAAACGATGCGAAAATGCTAGGATACGAATAAGTTAGATGCGTGGGTATCAGTTCGGAGTCAAGAGTCCATGGCTATGCAGCAGCCGTCAGCGTCGTAGTGGCACGTCTTCCTCGCTCTCCGGATCGTTGTCGACCTCGATGTCGTCCTTCTTGGAGTTGGGGCATGTCCCATCCGGGCGAAGATGCCGCTTGTAGGAGTCTGGGCGAGCGTATACCCCTTCGCACACTGCACACACGACCTTCTTGTTGCGATGGATGTTCATGTGGCGGTCCCGGTCGCCAGGGCGAGTGAAGGTCTTGCTGCACTCCTCGCACTTATGCTTGCCCCTCTTCGATCCACATGCGGTGCGAGGGCCGCTCCCGCGCCTCTTCTTCCCCCTTGTCACGCCCTTCCCCGACCTCGCAGTCACGCCTCTCGTCGCCTTGTCCTCCGAACCAGCGTCTACGCGACCCTTTTTAGGCTTCGGTTCCAACGTGGTATCGTCTTCATCAGCAACATCCACATCGATGGGGACGTACTCGTCGTCGCCGTCGTCACCGTCGCTCTCGTCGCAGTTAGCATCGCGCTCGTCGCCCGTTGACTGCGGGTAGGCAGTGAAGGCATCAGCCGGCTTCGTCGCATGTGAACTCGAGGGCATCGGTTCCTCGATGGTTCGGCTTCCTCCGCGAGTCCTGGGCGAAGGGCGACCAGGAAGGGCGTGCAGGCGTGTGGAAGTCAGCTCTTGATCTTCCACGCGCTTTGCACGCCGCTTGGGCAGTGGCTTCACATCACGAATCATCGGACTGCCTGCCTCGCGGGGTGGTGTCTTCGCAGAACCCCGTTTGCGCTTAGGACGGAAGTTGGCATAAGTGCCGACTTCCGGGGGTGTCGCCAAGAGCACCGACGGCGATACGCCAACAGGGCTGGCGCGAGGCGGCGACCCTGGGGTGTATGGGGTGAGGGGTGAGTCGTATGCCTCCTCATCGTCGTAAGCCGCGTCCATCCTGTCGAACGCTCCGCCGAGCGACTTTGTTGCTGGGGAGATGGATGTGACGTCGATGGTGTTCGTTGGCGATACCTGCAGCTCGGACGAAGTCGTCCATACAGGCAGTGCACCCGCGTCCGCGGACCATGGTGTGAAGGGGGCGCCGGATGTTGATGCAGGCGAGACGGTGGAAGAGACGGGACTGTATGGTGAGTGCAGGAGACTTGGAGAGATAGTCTGCGGCTCCGTCTCGTGAGAGGCTCCTAACATAGCCATCCTAGATGAACTCGAGAAGACCCGGCTGGGTAGAAGCGTGGATGAAGTAGCATAAGGTCCCTGATGGAACATGGCAGAGCTTGGCGACGCCAACGCTACCTCTACCGTGTTGTATGCTTCACGAGCATACAGCACGGTAGCTGTTTCGTTGGATGCGTCGTCAAACCGTGCTTCAAATCAATTCACGGCACTACAGTATAGTTGGGTTGGACTTACCTGCACCCGAAGCTCCGCCGCGTATTCGCTGACAATGTCATCTGGCATCACAGCGTCGTCCTCAAACGAAAACTCCATATCCAGTGGCCGGAATGGAAGATCCAGCTCTGGAAGCTCGATCACTGGCCCGTCGTACATTGGCCCCATCGTCGAGTCGCCGAAGAGACCCTGGTAAGACGTGTACAGGAACTCCTCATCTAGGGACGTGGTCGACTTCGATTCGCCAAGGGAGCGATATGGAGTCAAGGATGGCAGCATGGCGCAAGTGCACAGTCGCGCGGTGTGCCGAAGTCGGTGCTCGAGGTCGAGAAAGTATTGAGCGATGTGGGTCGCGTTGTTGGCCCAGACAACCAGAGCGGATTCATCTCGCTAAGTAGGGATTACGGTGAGCGTTCGTAATGTGATTGTAGCGAACATGACTGACTACTATAGAGGCATGGTGCGCCATTGCCGCATGCGGCGTTGACGCAAGTGAACCTAGGATAGGCAACTTGGTGCCATCATGAGCATCGAACAGCGATGCATCAGGATGTCTGGGACGGATCAGTAGGAGGAGGCGAAATGAAAGGATACTTCATACATCTCTGCCAGGAGTGCCTTGATAGCTGGTGTGCGCGCCTTGATGGCGGCCCGAAAGCGGGAGTCCTTCAATAGGGTGGCCAACGATGGGTCTCGTTCGCTGGGGTAGAGGAGAGCATTTCCGTCGTCGGAGAGCACGCACACGGCGACGTAGTCGAGGTCGTCTGTGTCCGGCGGAGGGGAAGATAGCTGGGAGATAATGGAATGTAGCGAGGCCTGGGCAGCAACACTCATGGCGGACGGGAAGGGGGGTATTGTCTCGACTGTGGCCCATCTGGCTCGCGGGTTAAATCACTTCGTACTGTGGGTCCCTTTAGCGCTTTTGAGCGTCTGTGGTCGCGCCTCAAGGACATCGCACTTTCTTCAAGGATGCCCATATCGGACATCGGAGTTGATGCTGCACAGGGCGAGCCTTCATCTTCGTGAGATGGATCTCTTGTCATGTCGATTGATAGCTGCCGTACGCGTGAAGGCGACAAAAAGCGCCGTAAGCGAGTCATAATAAGAGCTCTGGGACCGGAAGGAGAAGGCAACCACTATTATCAAGTACGACTCGGTCCTGCTTGTGAGCATCTCAGGCAGGATTAGCGTGGATCCTTGCTTCTATCATACATATCTCTCTTCCTTTCCTTGCCTCCGACATCGTCGGTGCCCTCGCGAACCTGCCCTAACGAGTGGAATTCGCTGCTGCACTATCCACTGCCAGTGGTAGCATCGCCTTTGAAACTGCGACCGACCGACCTATGCCAATGCCTCGTGGACTACACGCTTTACGGCGAATCATGTGTCGCGTTGGAATTTGGGGCATGCACGCGGAAGGAATGCACTACTGAGGTAGCGAAGTACGATAGAACATCTGGACGGAAGAGGCGAGCGGTGTGAATGCTGTGCACTCACTCACGACTCACGTTCAGAGCTTTGTGTGAGAGCGGTGCCTGGTTCTCAGAAATTCTGTCGCCTGTAAAGAGTTACAATACAGTCTTACATGGAGAACACTGGCAGCCCTCCGTAAGACACAGTGCCATAGGCTACGCTGTTGATGAGCTGTTTGCTCCTTTTGCCTAAAGTCCGAAGTGAGCCGGACTCGCTGGCAAGATGGTCAGTTCTGACCGAGACGTCTACGAGCGAGCAGCATGGCGGCCGAATCGTCCCTGAGACCCGGTACTCCGGATTATCAAAATACTTCCCCTCATTTTGATTGCGCCTAGGCGACGACAAGGCGGGTCCGGCGGTCGGGCGGCCCCCGCATCACGAGGGTGTGATGCAGCTCGCGACCTCGCGACTCAGCAAGACATGCCGGATATAGGTGACTTCACTTTGCAGAATTTCAAGGTTCTGTATGGACAGTGCCGAGCATACTTTGAATCCGAAGAGTCGGGCGATAACCTGAGGAGAGGTCAATGTCAGGCCCGGGCGCATGCCGTCGACTTGAGCGTGGGAAGTGGACCCACAGACGCACTCAATGCTATTTCGGGGTAACTTGCCTCTTTCAGACTCTTGATCCCGTGCAGCGACAGACGTGCCTACCCCTTTCTGATCTGAAGGTTTGCATTCACATGGGATTTCAGCGACAAGCAGAGCCGAGGCAACCGCATGTTCTAGGTTTCCGAATACGGCTTCGCTGCCAGTGCGCGGCCCGCAGCGGCCTAGCAGCGGCCTCTGCTGACAGCACATCATCGCCAGTCATGTGAGGCATTCTTCTAGCGTGTTTAGACTCAGAGTGAGTCCATGGCTTACTCTGTCTCTGCGCAAAAAGACTGACACCGCTCTTGTCTCCAATATCCTCTCGAGATACCTTCATTTGTGGTCGTATTCTCCGTGCCGCTAAGTCGGGCTTTACACTTGCGTCAAATAGAAGTGAAACTCAGTTGAACATCAATCATCACGCAATACAAGTGTCACGAAGGTTACAAGGTAGGGTCCTGCCAGTGCTCTCTGCCGCATGCGCGCCGAGGGACGGGTAGCATATCGGAAACCTGGCGCCCCCGTAGCAGACTCAGTGAACTTAGTCTTTCTACTGCTAGCAAAACGTCTGCTGCGGTATTGACCGTGCAAAATCTGGGTGAGCACCGCCGATGAGTTAGATAGCGATGCGTTGGGACACCTGAACACGAGCTATCCGAAATTGGGCTAGACTGGAGTTATTGTGAAGCTTTCATCCGTCTCGTCGGGTTGTCGTCGATACGAGGCCGTTGTAAAGGTATCAGGACTGCCGTACGTGTCGTGCGTTCATCATATTGGTTGCACTCACAAAAAGGATGTTTCAGAGCTCAAGAAGCACCAGGACGTCGGAGATTATCACGCGTCGGGTCTCCGACAATCACGACGAACAAGGGCTGATATTTAGAACAGGTAAACATCATCCCCCCTTTCACGAGCATCTGACAACGCCGCCGGCTTGCATTATCTTCAGATTTGCCGCATGTGAGCAGACAACGCAGAGACCTGCTCGACGCGCAGGGTGCGCATGCGCTGACTCTCAGAAGGTGCGCTGACATGTCCATCTTTGTGGGCGGCGACCGAGGAGGTGTCCCGGCGGCCAGCAACATCTGCTTGCTTTGCGGGAACAAATTACTTTCGTGCGGTTTTTCACTGCCTTGGCTAATATCTGCGGCCTGCGCTGCATGGATCACTGCGAGACCCCAAACAATTTGTACCACCACCGAACGGCACCGCTGCCTTGATAATCAACCAGGACCCGTCCGTCTTCAGATATCTGTGATCCTGGCACCGCTGACTGGTTGCGTAGGTTTGCGGTCGATGCTTAGAATGCTATTGTGTCCACCATTTACGGCTACATGCCACTGTCTGTGCGGTGGCCTGGTAGCACCATCCTCGATGAAGGCATGGCACTTCCTCCTCTTTTTCTTGCGAGGAATTCATCGTTTTGTCAACATTTTGGTCTCTTGCCGGGGTATTGTCCTAGAACTACCTCGGCTGCCGACGACTGTCGGAAGTGCGATCTGCATAACGATCGAGGGTTTACGGCAACGGGCGCTACGCCCATCTTCTGTCAGCCTCCACACGGCGAAGCAGATAGCGGTTGGCGTCTACATCCATATGAAGCAGGAGCAGGACGCATCGGCGGAGACCCGCATCGGATTCGAGATCATTGAAAAGAGATCTGAGGCCTTCCTGTGCGTCCGTCAAGCTCGAACTGCTGACAGCGGTGAGTCCGGACCATGTTCTACTATTACCGACTTCACGTAATGAGCTGCCATGCCGCAGAACGGCCGTAATTGCGGTCGCAGCGGCGGAGCGCCTTTTCCCTCCTAGAAGGCCCCTACAGTGCCGGCAAAGGCCCGACAAGGGCGGCACTAACATGTCCCTGCCCATGGCAGTCGGGAGAAAACACACGAACGCCACTGTGCGCAGTACACCAAACCGAGAGCCTCTGCTAGTGAACGTATTTGTCACTCCATAGTCAAGTACGCCACCCAAGTCATTGATCCGATTTACTTGACTTTTTTGAAAGTCGTCGCAGGGATATGGCAGCAGTTTCGGGCGATGCCACTTATCTGAAGGCCACTGGCACTAGGCGTATGCGATCATGAAATCAAGCTGTCTTCATATCACGAGCTCCGCTTCACGAGCTAGACGTCCCCTTCAAGCCGACAAGTGTCACCAACCCAGGCGACCTTATAATTATTTCACCAGATGGGGACAAGATATCGACCGCCGGACAGAGCGAGCACGGGCACCTTCACACTTCCAGGTGGCATGACATGTCGTCACGGTCTTCAGACTTACCATTCTAGGTAATTATGCTGACATAGAGCCCAGGGTCTCCCGTAGCAAGCCATAGCACCAGTGCACGTCTCTTAGTCCCATCATCATCCTATCCAGCCAGGTGCGTTTGCCGCAACAAAAACGAAGATTGGGTTAGAATAGAGGAGTTGACGCCGTTTCAGACAAGCCTTATCACCTCTCATATTGCCGGTGCATAGCTCGCCCACAATGACACACAGAACCGGCATTCACGTACTCGCCTTCGATATCTACGGGACAATTCTGAACACTAACAGCATCACATCGGGGATCAAACAACATAGTCATCTAGACGACGAGAAGGCCGCCCAACTCAGCCAACTATGGAGGCGATATCAACTCGAGTGAGTGCGATGCCTCGCTTACTCTACTGACAGTCATATTCAAACCTTAGCAATGTTAGGTACACATGGCGCCTGAACTCCATGGGTGAGCAGAGTCAGTCACTCATCAAGCAAATATTCACTGACGGAGATGGTTTCACTGATATTACGTCGCAGGTCTCTACGAGCCTTTCGACACCGTTACTAAGAGCAGCCTCAAGCACGCTGCCGCGGAGATGGACATCATACTCGCGGACGGCGAGATCGCCGCCTTGATGAGCGACTATAGCCGTCTTCTCCCGTGAGTTGTTTGACACATTCGGGCTTCACGGCAGACACCCTTGCACTTCTTCCGCCGGACGAAGTACGAAGCGCTCGTCGGTGGGGTCGCGCTATTGAACCAGCGCGATGTCTATACTGCATCCGGAGCAATGCTGTCGCAGTTGGAGGAAGAGGTTGCCTTGAGTCTATAGAACGGCGTCTCGATGATGAGTGTTGAACGCTGATGAAGTTGTCTAGGTTCGAAGACGCAGTTCCGGCGCTGGAGGAACTGAGTCGAAATCCGAATATCAAGGTCGTTATTTTCAGCAACGGTCGGTACGATTCTTTGCACAACGGCGAGGCTCGTGACTCACCGGATGAATACAGGGACCGAGCAGGTCAGTGCAGCGACAGCCGACTGGCCGCTGCCGCTCAACCGTCCAGTTCACTGATTGCATCCTCCAACAGATGGTCTCAACAGCATTGCATGCCTCGCTACCCGAGGCACTCCTCCCCCTACCACTACACCTCGCAGACTCGGTAAGGCAGTACAAGCCAGCGCCGTCCATCTATGATGGACTGCGCAAGGCATTCAGCGACGCTCCCGGGGCGCAGGGCGACTCGCCCGACGTCTGGCTTGTCAGTGGGTGAGTGAAATTAGTGACTTCGCCATGTTATCCCATGTTTACTGAACGGCCCTTGTTCATCTCCGCGGCGTCGGTGGTCGTCGTATTGGATTGCATACAGGAACCCTTTCGACGTCACTGGTGCACGTGCCGCGGGACTGGGAGCTTTCTGGGTCGACCGCGCTGGCGGCGGGTGGAAGGATCAGATCCCTATGCTCACGCTGGTGTAGGACCTCTCAAGATCGTGAAGAATCTAGGAGAGATAGCAACGATTGTCAAGGAGGAGTCCTGAAGAGCTCGTCGCCAGTTCCGTGTGAATGTGTCCGCATGCACCACACAAGACAATGTCAACGTTCGTGTGTTCTGAGCAGTACCTCGCGAATGTACAAGTCATCGTAAATGATTGGCTCATCAGTGCACATGATCGCACGAGATAGCTGCCGTTCAACATGCGGATATTTGTTCATGCATAAGTACGCATCATGCGACGCTGGCTATACGCGACAAAACCGGGGTGTATTCCAGCAGAACGTGAAGAACAGCTAGGCAACTACGGACATTATTGTGTTCCGTATAGTCCACATCTGATCTATCCTCGTTGCCACGGTCCACAGAGGCCGATTCGGACTCGGACACTGGGACAGGGCCATGATGTGCCACACGAAGCAGCCATCGAAACTGCATGGTCCCACGAAGCTTGAAGCTCGAACGCACGGCTGCGGTCACAAAACGTCCCAATCTGAGCTCGCATCTGAGGTCCAGTCTTCGCTCCGATACGGAGTACGGGAAGTGCTGGAACCCATGCGACTTCTGCCCTTTTGACGCTTTCTGAATAGCGGGGTGCGTGGGGCTGCCGGCTCGTCTAGGTCGCTCCACGAGAACGTAGACGACTCGGAGGCGGGCGACGAAGGGACGCTCAGCGGGCCGTCCGCATCCGAGTCAGACGCGGGGTCCGGGGTTCCGACATCTCTAGGTGAATGGGCACCGAGATCTGCAGAGGACGTGGATGGTGAGGGCGGGCCGGAGGTGAGCGCAAGCTCGACGTCCCTCTCGCGGCCGTCTCCATGCTCGCCGTCCTGCGCAGCTTCCGGCGCCGCTCCTCCAACTGCAGGAGCTCCTCCTGCTCGCGATGGTGCCGCACAAACATCTCATCCCACACCCCACGCACCCCGTGTCCTCCCTGCGCCCGCACATGCCATTCCGTATCGAGCATGGCCAAGGACACGACATCGCGGTACCCGGGCGCCGCGGGGCTGATGATTGCGCGTCGGCGAGTGCCTTCGCATGTGAAGCCGAGAGACGTGAAGATGTTACGAGCAGCGTCGCTCGATGGCCCGTCCATGATCAGGCCTTGCACGCGATGCGCCCACAGGTTGTCGAAAGCGTATGTGAGCCCTGCGGAGAGCGCTTGCGCGGCGAGGCCTTGGCCACGCCATTGGGGCAAGAGCGAGAGGCCGATGTTGTATTCGGAAACCATGTCGGTCGTGCGGAGATAGAGGATGCCGATCGTATGAATCGTCGATATATCCTGCTCAGAGGCTGAGGGGCAGATGGAGAATCGAGAGGTTGAGGTGCGGCTGCATCCCAGATGTTGTCGATGTCCCTCGCTTCTGGCCAGGCATACTGCGAGAGGGAGACCGGTGGCTGCCTGTCAATATCTACTGGGATCGAGTCCCTATCGCCCGCCCGTTCTGCCATGAGCTCCTCCTCAGCCGCCTCGCCCTCTTCGGTTTTGCTTTCCACAGGCTTTGTGGGCAAGTGTTGCACGGCAGCGAACATGATGCATTGGTCGGATGCGGCAAACTCGAACGGCTCCGCACACCGTGCGGTCACGGCTTCCACGCTGTAGGGATGTAGCTCTTCCCAAGCACTTAGGATGGCTTCGATATCGATGTCATCGGCTTCAAGAGATGTCTCTAGGATAATATCATTGTGTCGCAGCACTTGTGAGGAGGCCATCGCTGCCGGGGATATGCAAGGAGGTGAGCAACAAGAGGAGCAGCTGTGGGTACACCTCGAAACGGGTGAATCGTGCGTCTAACGTGGCGATAGCAGCTGCGGGACACGGTGTTCGATACGTGGGGAGCACATGCAAGCCAGGCGTCGGACAGCTGACGGGAAAACCTGTGTGGAACGTGCTGTCACGGCTTTGTCAGCAGGAGACAGGTTCTGTCGCCGCGGTCCTCCACGTTGCCTCCACCCACTGTCAAGATGAGTCGAGCGCGCATGCGGTATCGGCCGGTGGCTCGATTCGGAGCCCCTCCTCCTTCGAAGTTTCACTCGTATTTCAGCTCTGTGTGTACCGGTACGTCCTTGCGTGGTAGTACTGTCTCGTACTCTGATGATAAACTCGATACAATTTTACGGGCACCAGCAATAAGTACTCGGCGCACTGAATACGCGATGCCGTCGAGCACTGCACCGGTGCTGGGAGCGCAGGGTGAGATGTCTGATCATTACAACACTGCCTTCCCACTGATCTAGCTTTCTCAAAGGCGTTACGTTCTAGTAGCGCGTTCTCCCTGTCCTTCAAGTTAGCGAGGTAGACGGATCCGGGACCGGCCTAGGCTCGGATGTCATCCGTATTGTGGCCAGCCAGAGCGGTGTCTCAGTGAGATCCACGTATCAAGTGACCACGTCCAGCGTGCCGCCCCCGCGCGCCCCCGACATTGGGCCTCCGCACGAGGCTACAGTGCAGCCATTCCGAGACACTAGGCTCCTCTCCCGTGCAGCCGCTGTCTGCTTGCTTTGCCATCTGTCATCGGTCACTGGCGTGTATCTTATAAACATGATATCCGACTCGGAGTCTCTCATTTCCCCCCTTTCGACGCGAGGCTCCTGCTGCGTCTCCCCCGCGGAGCAATGCGCCATCCGTTGCATCCTCCGCGGCGTCGTCCACGCTCAGAGTCGCGACTAACAACACGATTACCCCGTCAACGCCCGCAAGCACCGTCTCCGAAAGCCGGAGCGTCGGGAGTCCCGACGCTCCGGCTTCTTCAGCCGGTTCACGGGCGGTTTGACTGCGTCGGCGTCATTGAGCCTCAGCTCAAACATGACGTCGCTCTCGCTCGAGACCCGTGTCCACGCCGAGCGTGGCTCCGTCGACGAACTCATACTCGACGTCCATCTCACAACTCTTCGCAAGTCGGCTGATAATGACGACAAGAAAATGCACGGTACGTCTTCCTTCCGGGCTCCAATTCATTATGTACTGATACCGTGTCATAGAGTCTTGAGATCTATCCTCGACAATGATAGGGCAACACGTCGCAATAATCCCGCCGCGATCAACGCTGTTCCCGATGATGAAGTAGTAGATGAACCGCAGCAACAGGTCAACGAGGCCTTTATTGCGTCAACCGAGGGAGATCATGCGCAGCCAAGCCCCAGCAGATCTCCTGTGTAGTACTAGTCCTCGTTCTACTAGTGCTCTTTGTTACGCGTGTATCCAGGGCTCGATTGTAGATTTCATTTCGCCGTATTCATAGAGCATCATTCGGACTGTTCAATGTAGTGCGGGCTGCGTAGACGTGAACCATTCTGCAAATGCAATTGAATACTGTCATCGTGATCGTGGATGGCTGCTTGAATGCTGCTTGAATGCTGTCTGCGATGCAAAAGCCTCACGCACAATGCCTGTGTGCTGCTGACATCAATATGGTTTACACCGAGGTACTATGTTCACGCATGTCAAAAGCACGCGCACCCCACCTCGTAGGCAGCTGGCACACCACCTGTCTGCCACGTACGACTGTCGACACGGTGGGGCCATTTCCTCCTTTTCGTGGCCACCATGTGTCGTCAGCGCGTCTCAGGTGGCAGGTCCATGTATTTCGCGGGCCGCACTCACGTGGACTCCATGTGCCAGCCGACTGGAGGTGTAGGCACTCGCCTTCCGGACGGCGGCACTACGCCTGGTGACCATATAGCCTTCCATTCGCGCAGTGCCGCTGAACATTAACTTTGTTGACTCGACATTCGACAGATAAGCGCTGCAAAGGCCGCCGTACTGACTTCAGCACGCCGTGAGTCATGTGCACGAATCAACTTCGGGAAGCCCGTACAAAGTTCGCATTGCAGCACCGCGAAGTCCTTCATCTGAAAAGAGCTAGAACTTACAGAGTCGAGAAGGCCCAGCAACAGCGTACAGCGAAAACGACCCTGTAGTACGTCAACCGAAGGGGCTGTCATCATGTCGTTCTAGAACAGAACGAGTGTAGCGTCATCTCACTGCGCGCGCGCGCGCGCTGACATCATGATGCTGCGTGCGGTTTGATAGAATGGAGTGCACGAATCAAAGATGTGTCTTCCGGACTAGGAAATTTGCTATGCTTTGCATGCTTGTGCATCTAGAGGCGAAGTCGAACGTTGGATACTATCTTTGCGGTGTGAGGCACTGCGTTCGGACCAACAGCTGAGCGCTGAGCAAAAGCCTGCTTGAGCATGTACTTGCCACAAGATTGATATGCACAAAGAGCGTGGTGGCTGACGTCCGAACGCACAGAGTCTTTTCCATGTCAAGCGCCCTCCGAGGCTCAAAGCTAAGAGCTTGGGCCATAATAATAACAATTCAGTTACTTCTGATTCCAATGACAACGAAGGCGACCCACCTGCTCATCTCTCAGTCTACTTGTATAACCCCACGCTCAGCGGCAACTCAGGCCTCAAACTCTCCCACCCAACAGTAGGGTACAGGATCGCCGCAACATTCCACACGATCGGCTTATCGCTCAGCTGGAAGACGAAGTGGGAGATGAGCATGGACAGCATGGCCTCTGTTGGCACGTCAGATCCCATTTGTATTCTCAGTATGCGGTGCACCCACTCATTTCCATCTCAGCGAACTTAAACCCGCTATGATGGGACTGGTCAGTATCCAAGGGCATCCGAGGTGCACACGAAGGAACAAACGCACATGCACGAACGCTTGCCTGCTGCAAATGTAGTCCTGCCCAAAGTATAGGTCAGCCACGTACGTAGTGGGGCATGGACAACGCACGTACAAATTTGGGTATACACCTGGGATACGGGCCTCCGTAACCGACGTGGGCAAGGACGGCATCCAGCGCTTGGGTCTCCACTCGAGGGAGTCCTCGCCCCACACGGATCTGCTCGCGTTACATCCAAGAAAACCCACGAGGAACTCCGAACCCTTCGGGATAGGGACCTCGGTCATCTCTTGTCCATCCACAGTCCGGATCGGCTCTGACAGAGGTAAAACGGTGTCCTGGGTTGCGCTGGACCGCCAGAGTCGCTGATTGGACACATGCAACGAGATGATCAAGGGGCACTCACACACGAAGCAAGATGCTTGCTGGAGGGTAGCTTCGTTGAAGTTAGCTTGGAGTCGACTAAGGATCAAGACGTATCTCACAGTCGCAGCGTCTCCCGTATAATGCTGTCAAGCAGTGGGAGCCGATTCAAGTCGTCATAAGCTAGATCATCCCCGGCGCGGGATTCTAGCAATTCGTTTCGGAGTCGTTCTTGGTAATCCGGCTTCTGCGCGAGAATATGTAGAACACGTGCAATTGCGTTAGACGTCGTGTCCTGTGCAGCTGCCAAGAAAACCCTGCATCGCGGCCATGAGGATCGCACACTCTATACGAGCGGCATGTCATGCGCACTCACGACATTTGCGCGATCACTTCCTCCTCTGGTAGTCTGTCGTTCACATCTGCACTGGAGTTAGCACGCACTGTGGGGGCGGGAGTGGGTGTGAGTGACCGTAATCATGCGTCATAATATGCACGTACTGAGGATACTGAGGATATCCTTGCCCCGCCCAACCTGCTTCGTTACCTCCGCATCGCCCTTTTCCAGTGCTTCCTTCTTCTCCGCGTAGATCTCTCTCGCTCTCCTGTCCATGGTGTCAACTATATGAACGATGTTACGTGCAGGAGATCCTGCCGGGAAGGCCTGCATGACGCCTCTGCGGAGCCACTTCGGCAGCCCCTCCGAGAGGGAAGCGAGTGTAACGTACTCAAATCACGCCCGCAGATGCAGTGTATCCAATCTCTATTCAGGAGAGTATCGTATACGCATAGGGCATCTTTAGGCAGTAATAGTGAGGTAGTTGAGGCTAAGGTAAGTGCGCTGGCGCGCCATACGAGACGAGAGAGCAAACATAGCCAAACATACATGATAAGATATACTATAACGGGTAGGTCTTGATGACCCCCGAATAGACCCGTTACACTCTCCCCCACTGGACTCGTCTCGCGAGTCCCAGCGAAAGACAATGAAGAGAACATACCATGCATATCTTCTTGTAAGAGATTACTCACCTCAGGTACAGGTAAGATAAACTGTGGGCCGGGTCTCGGAACACAGCAATCTATGTAGCGCCCACAGGGTCTCCGTGAGCTGACTACATCCTGAAAGTACCCGAGATAGAGCAATCAATGTAGTGAACATCCCATATGGATGTACACAGCATGATCTCGTGGGCATTGAGTATGTTCAACCATCTGTGGTAGAACATACTGCAACAGGTATGAAAGAAACATAAAAGAAAAGAAAACATATCATCGCGCCAGCGTACTACTCGCCTGCACCTGAACATACAATGTGTTCAGGCATACAGGAGAGCCTCAAAAAGCGGACTACTACTCTGAGTAGTAGTCACCACCATCATCATCATCATAGTCACCATCCTCGTCATCATAGTCATCATAGTCTTCGGCAGAATATGCAGAAGCACCAGATGCAGACGAGGCCATAGGTGAGCTATGGTCATACGAGTCTGACTCATAATAGTCATCAGAGACTACTACTGAGTCGACCTTGTCATCACCTGGACCACCATCATGTTCCGAAGCCTGAGAGTGCTCGGACTCAACATCATCGTGGTCAGATGGTATGTCAGGGGTGGAATCGTAAGACTCATCACCATCTGATTGACTCCAAGTCGAAGTCGGGACAAATCCACCACCCATGCCATAGAATACTGACCTACCAGCAGTAACATCGACTGCTGGTTGGTAAGTAGCTACGAAGGGCACTGATTGATCCCAGAGCTGAGCATAGACCCATTCACGGAGTGGTCGTAGCAACCGAGGCTCGGACCACGATAGTTCGTAGTCTATCGGCCGCACTTCCACAGCCCGTTGGAAGTGATCGCGGGCTCTCTGAGCCGCTCGGGTGTACGACTCCGGTCGCGGAGACATGTCATTGAGGACATCTCCCCAGTCGAGGCCGCTGACCTTGAGTTCAGCCCATGCCTTCCAGTCCCCAGCTTGCTCGGCCTTCGCAGCCTGAGCCAGCTTGAGTTCGAACCGGTCGGTCACGAAACTGAAACACTCGGCTCGCAGGTGCTCAGCAGTCGGCCACCGAGTATCATCAATATACTCGGAGCGCGCGCCCGCTGTTGGAATGGTACCAATCATGTCGAAGATACCACGCGACATGCTCGGCTTCGAGAATGTCGTCGCAGGTACATGGGTCTGTACATCAAGCCTCGCGCTCGATGTCCAGACCACATGTGTCTCGTCTACTCGTTCCGACCCCAGTACATCGCGACTCGATGTACTGGTATTCGTCCGAGTCAAGCGGTCACGATTTGCCGTGCCGCTCCCTTCCCCCCTTTGGACTGAACCTCCCCAGTAATCGGTGAAGGCGACAGTCTTGTCGCGTACACGCGAGGTTGAATCCTCGTGGATACGGCGATAGCCTGGTCGCGCGGAAGGTTGTTCATGTTCCGTCAGCGGACGTGAGCGTTCTGTCGACGTCGCCGGCCTTGCTGTCGAGTGCGACGAGGTCGGTATGCCCGTCGTGGACATATTGTTCCTCCTCGGACGCGATGTCTGGTCCGTGTGCGTACGGGAAGACGTGGCCACCATGTCTGACGGACGTGGTGACTCAGTCTGTGCTGTACTTGTACTCGTACTCGCCCGCTTGCTAGCTGACGAGTATCGGGCGATGAGCGCCAGGCGTCTTGATTCCAGCTCGGCCATCGAGTACGATGAGGTCAGTACGTCCGGCGACTCGGGCCTACTGTGCCTCGTTGATTGCTCGACGACCCGCTTGGCGGTCTTGGTGGTCGAGGTCGTGCGCGCGTGCGAGGTCGGTTCCTCGTACGTGCGGCGGGTACCTGACGTGTAGGGACTCGACACAGATGCGTCGAGGTTGGACTTGCGTCCGCGCAGGTCTCCGCCATCGCGTCGACTCGTACTCGATGTCGGACGAGCCGTGGATCGTGAAGAAGTCAGTACACCTGGCTCAGGTGTACTGCCCTTCTCGTCTTCGTCCTCGTCCGGATTGACCTTGTCAGCCTTCTCGTTCGTCGAGAAGCTGACCGACTTGCTGGTTTGGGTGTCTGACGCTCTGCCCAGCTTCCTAGTCTTCGACGAAGCTGACGGACGTGAGGACGACAGTACATCCGACAGAATGGGTGTACTGCGTTCCTTCACGCCGTCGTGCTCGCGCGGGGCGGTCTTGTCGCGAGCCTCGCGTGTTGTCGAGGCTAACGTGTGCAGTGGTGTCGACGAGCTCGCTGTGCTCGACGACGGCATCTTGACGGGGGATGTACCGCGCACGTCCGAGGTCGACTCTTTGTGCGCACGGATCGGAGCTTGATCACGTAGTGCGGGGGGCCTGTACCGCTCGTATGAGCTCAAGTGAGACCGCACATCTTGCGCGTGATTCACAGTACTCATTGATGACGATGCTGACGAAGTCAGTACATCCTTCAAGTGGGATGTACTGCCCTTCGCCAGGCTCTCGTCCATCATGACCGAGTGCTTGAGGCTGGACGACACGGTCAGTGTCGAATCCGGAACCTTGCATCCCGTTGACGTAGAGGCGGTCGACGCTGGTGCAGCCTGCGATGTCGATGAGCTGGTCGACGAGCTTTTGAGCACGTTGATCGCGGCGTTGCCACCGGTGTTGGTCTCGCCGTATGCAGCGAGCAAAGGGCTCGCTTTACTCGGCGACGACGTCTTGATGGTGGACGAGTCGGTCGTGCTCAATCGCACGCTGACTGCATCGCTTGACGGTGCCTTGACCGGGCTGGTCTTGCGCCTTGTCGGATTGGGTGTGGTTGGCGAGCTTCTGAGCACGTCGACTACGGCCTGATCGCGAGTGCTCATCGCGCCGGACACGTTGAGCAACGAGCTCGACGTATGCGACGGCGATGTATTGAGGATAGGCGTCGACGAGCTTGCCTCTTTCGTTGTCGATGCGGTGGCAGACGTCGATGCGGATGAGCCGATCGACGTACGTCTGAGCACGTCGATGGCGGTATCATTGCAAGCGTTGGGCTCGCCGTGTACAGTGAGCGAGGGGCTCGCCGTACAAGACGAGTATGTCTTGACGATCCAGTTGGACGCGTCGCGGGGCATGGTCTCCGAGCTGGAGGTCGTGTTGGATCGTATGCCGATCGCGTCGCTGGGCATGACGTTGGCGATGGACGTGTCGGATATGCTCTTGAGTGCGTCCGACAGGTCGCTATTGCTGCGTGAGGTACCCACGACGAGCAACGGGCTCGTCGTGTAGCACTTCGGCTGCGGGATAGGGAGAGCCGGCTGCGAAGGAGGTGCCAGCAGCGAACTGGTTACCCCCGACCAGTGTCCGGCTTTGGTGGTGGAAGCAGACGCGCTGGTCGTGCTTGATTGCACACCGGTCGCATCGCAGGGCCTGGTCTCCGATATGGAGGTTGGCGTACCGCGCACGCACAAGGTCGGGTCCTCGTACGTGCGGCGGGTACCCGACGCATAGCGACTCAATGCGGACGCGTCGGGGTCGGGCCTGCGTGGACGTGTGTCTTCACCATCGGCACGGCCTGCAGTGGACACCAAGTCCTTGCTGGTCCGTGCACCAGGTGGAATGTCCGACTGCAGTACCATCGACAGAGCTTTCGAGCGTGACGAAGCCAGTACATCCATTGATCCGGATGTACTGCACTTCTTCGCGTCTTCATGCTCGTCCTGATTGACGGTGCCGAACGTGCACGTTGTCGACTCGCATGCGGGCATTGATGTCGACGAGCTGGTCGACAAGCTTCTGAGCGCGTCGATCGCGTCGTCGTTGTCGTGGGTGCGAGCCTTGTGGTGTACGTGGAGCGAGGAGGCTGCTGACGAAGTCAGTACATCCTTCAGGTTGGATGTACTGTCCGTCGTCGAGCACTTGTCCCGGTCAGTCTCGTCGAGTACGTTGGCTGACAAGCTCTGTGTGCTCGACAAACCTGTCTTGATGATGGAGATGGACGCGCCGAGCGTGCTTGATTGCACTCCGGCTGCGTCGCCGGGCGTAGCAGTGACGATGGTCTTGCACCTTGACGGAGGAGACGTCGTCGACGTGCTTTGAGGTACGTCGACGGCAACCTGGTCAAAGTTGCGAGTGTTCGTCTTGGCGGTGGAGACGGATGCGTCGGACATGCATGATCGCATGCCGACGGTCTCGCTCAGTGTAGCTTGAACCGAGCTTGACTTGCACATAATGGGGTCAAACTATCGGTTTGTTACCCGGCCACCCGACATGATATTCACTTATTGTTGCCCGGCCACCCGACGTCGGCCGACGGTTCAACTCAGCCGTCATTACCCGCGTCGGCCGATGCATGGAACTTCCGGCTACCCTCGGATGGGCCGACGAGTTGGATGGGGGGTGTTTCCAACCAGGGCTCACAGGGTGTGTGCGGATTGACATTCTGTATTGTCATCACCCACGGGTCGGCCGATGGTATGATTCGTCGGCGTTCACGGAGCGGCCGACGGTCAAATCTCACCATATACACCCGGTCGGCCGAGGGTCTGACGGATGGGTCTGTACCGAGTCGGCCGGTGGTTGGACAAGATGCTGCTCCCACAGCGGCCGGTCATAAGACAAGCCGTGACAGTCCGGTCGGCCGACCACCCGGGGATCCGCATACTGGAATTCTTTGTGATTCATCCAATTTGTCTTGGCCTCACTGTTGCCCGGTTGGCCGACATCGCACCCGTATCAATGCTCCTATTGTTGCTGGACAGCTGGCGACATGTTCTATATGATACATCATGTTCTATATGATACATGGACTTCAATCTGTGCGGCCGACATTTGACTACTGCCAACAATCGGTGCGTGACGGCCGGCGTCCGATCACATCGTTGTAACCCTGCCGGCCAACATATTGTCAACCGGCTAATACCTGAGTGTCGTGCGGTCGCGAACTCGGCCGGGCTTCAGCCGAACGTATTTACTTCCACTAAACATTTGCCAGCCCGCTCCCTCTCTGTTCCTTTCCTTAGTGTTGGCTGGTTTGTCAGTTTAGCCATCCCAAACACCACCAGTGTGCATCCTCAGCATTTCGGATGGAGCCCGGTTGTGCCCGAATGCTGACGTTCCAATTACTATTGAATCGTGATAAGGTACCGCCGGAAAGTTCGGCCCGGGCTCCCATCATGCCCTGATCACAAGGAGACCTGCCCGATCTCCCGGGCATATAACACCATTAATAGACACTTACCAGCCACAGCTTTTGCGTGTGACTGTTGTACAAACTATACAGACCCTGTGAAAATCCCATCAAACCTTCCCGCATGATCAACACAATCTCCTCCCGCCATGTCCGCCGACAGTCTCGACATTCGCGCGGCCAATTATATGATTGCACTGTATGAGTATAGACTAGCTTACTTGGCTGGCACCGCTGGGCAGAATCTGTCGCCCGCGCCGGACGCCGACTTTAGTGTGGAAATGATCGGCCAGGCACACCAAATGGTCGAAATTATTAAGGAAGCCTTTCTTCGTCGAAGTGAGTATGGTGTATGTGTTGGCGACACACCTAAGCTCACTGCAAAGCCAAGTTTTTGTGAATTGGAATGCAGAGGATTATGCGGAGGCTATCCCGGCGGAAATCTCTGACCGGACAATGCCGCGCCTTCATCGCGCCATGAAGGAATTCCCGCCCCTCGAACTCGGCGACGGTATTTTTACACAGCCCGCCACCGTCGTCGATGCACTGGGGCATGTTCTGCTTTGGTACCTGCCTGGTATCATAACGGCCGAGCAGCAGGCGAGCGTTATACCTTCCCTGCTTATGGTGATGCTAATAAACACACCGTGCAGCTTAAGATATGGGAAAATACGTTTCTACTCAATCCAATGCTCGCAAAGTCTCGTGGGCAGGCTTCGACAACATGGCGGAATCACCCGGACAACTTCGCGGCAACCGGACAATGGCAAAGCCTGGATCCCGGGTGCATATCTTTCTCCCCGGGTTGGTACCAGCAAGGTCACCAGGTATGCAGCAGTGCGCACCAGCAGTGCCGGACTGATGTTGTCTCCCCCAGGGCACTACATATCCGCCACAGGTGTCCTCAACTTTATCGGAGGAACAATCTCCCGGCCGGGATTGGTTCCGGGCAATGACAGAGCAGCACGCCCTCATTGCGGGCATGCTCCGGATAATTCATCCGGAGTTGCATGCTATGGGCTATGCGGCGCTCGCCTCAACTCGGATTTGTCCCGACATTGCGGACGTGCTCCCCTTGTGGGGTACTCCATTCAATGCCATGTCCGTTATCACCAACCGCCGATCGCCCCTCCACCTTGACCGAATGTCGGCAAAGGATTGGTACGATCTCCTCATCACGATTGGTGGGGACAACGACACGGTATTAGAGCTCCCGACCCTCGGCCTCACCTTACAGTACGCCGGCGGGTGCGCGGCTTTGTTCTCCGGGGCCCTAATCCCTCACTCCGTATCACATTCCAATAGGGAGAGGCTTTGCGTTGTATACTACCTTAGACCCCAAGTACACAAATGGGCGAAGGTGAAGAAGACCAGTTGGCTGACAGTCGACTTTTAGCTAGGTATTAGATATGTTCGTTTGTAGCATGACCGAATACATGATGAACCTGTGTGCCTCGTCCGCGTTATTGAACCATGACAGTGTAGGAAGAGGACACGTCCGCGATCGGGCGTCCGACCTCGGGTGTCCGACATCGGGCGTCCGACATCGGGCGTCCGACATCGGGCGTCCGACATCGGGCGTCCGCGGTCGGGCGTCCGCGGTCGGGCGTCCGCGGTCGGGCGGCCGCGGTCGGACGCCCGAAGTGTTGGGAAATTCGGACAGCGGTAAATATACAAGGAGGCCGTTTGTATTACCGTCCAAGGTACATGATACCATATGCAGTCTCAGCATCATTCTGGAGCATTTTGAACATATGTCGCCGCTGACGGCACACCTCCGCATACCCAGGATACCTTCCGCTCTTCCGGTGGGCGGCATGGTCTGCCCACCGTTTCATCTCGTACTCAAAGTATCTCCGGACAGAATCCAGCTCTCGGCGGAGGATATTGTCCTCTTCTTCGGCTCGCTCGAACTGTGACCGTGCTCGGAACCAATGCACACGGTGTACTGTAAAAAATCATGACTCTGTAGATGTACTGTGACCGGCAACCTGCTTACATTCCGTCATTGTCTCATTTGCGTTCATATCGCCTTGAACATCCGTCGTCCATATCCAGGGTAGCCGGGTATGTCGCTGCCCCCTCTGGTTCGGTTCTACAATTGCTGTGCTGACCTTCAAATCGTCAGGCACCAATTTTTGGTACTTTCGAAGTGTTGACGTTGTTGCTCCGAGCACTGTCATCGCATGCCGCACCTTCCTGTACATACGGGCCTGGTGTTCCACTCCTTTCTGAACGGCATGCACATCCGCCCACGCCCGTGTCTTCCGCGACTGAGACTTGGCATCGCGCACCTTCGCTCGCATTACAAACGACTTTTGGCTGAGCAATATCCGCAATTGGTGCAAGATGTCGTTCGCTTGCCCGATTCGTAGCTCCAGTTCCGCTTTTGCATATGGCTGCACGTCCGTAGTCTTGATCGTGTCGACAGAGTAGGACGATGGAAGTGACAACGGCCGCCACTCCGCTGCCCTCCCATCTCGCTTTCTTGATTTCGGAGTAGAAGCCGGGACATTGCCTGTTACGTTGGGTCCGGCGGCTGCTTGGCCGTTGTTCTGCATGTCTTCCCAGTCGGATAGGTCACCGTTGTCATCGATAACCTCGGTATGCTGCCGACCGTCGTCCCATTCGTTCGTACCCACAATCTCCTCCCCCTTCCTTAGGAAGCGCTCGATCCGGAGTTCGAGCCGTTTTCTCTGTTTTGCGATGTTCAAACGCTGCTCTGCCGTTGTCTTTGTCCCATAGGCCCTTACTACCCGCTGCAGCGCGATTCTGTCGGAGTGTGAGCGTTGAATGTCGGGCGGCGGGATTGTAATTACGCACTGTGCATCCTCAATCCTCATTCCCTCAACCATCCACTCCGCTGCTCCGACGATGGTGTTGTTATCGCCTTCTTTTTCGGTCAGACCGATTTGTATTTCCGCCCTTGACGGAGCTACTCTACATGTCAGCGATCAGTGGTGTAATATCCGCCACCCGCCACCCACCATGCTGGCCCTGAACCTCAAATGCGTCCATCACTGATACATCCTTCACACGCTTTTTGTGGGCTTCCGCGACCGCTGACATCCATTGAGCCAGGATGTCGGCTTCGATCCCGGCTTCCTGGTCCTCCAGCGCCTCTCGGAAGCTCTCAAGGAGTACCCGGTTTGCGGCAATGCGCTTCTTCAATGCTGGGACTGGAAGGGGGTGAGAACCTGCAACACCGGACAGTTGATTTGCTTCCCGCACCTAATGAGACCATTTTCCGCCAATTCCAGTCGTTCATATGACGGTCAAGAGTTTCTTGCCGATGCGACGTCGCCATCGTCCGAGTACTTCCGAACACCTTACCCAATGGAGACCACATCGTTTGACGATCTCCCCATCCACTTGTCCGGCGCCGCGCATGAACGTCGGGGCGTACTCGAGGAGGCACTTCAACTGGTGGCCATGTACATGGAACAAGCCGATGCCGAGGTAAAGGGTAAGGCCCCGCGGCATCCGGAGCCGCGGACCGTCCTTGAAGCGTTTTGGAAGGTGCACCCCATACTGACACATCACGTCGTACAGCACGATGGCGTTCCGAATGCCGTCCGATCGGTAACTCATAGCTTCCGACAGCGTGTAATCCATGTTCTTCTGCCGCTCACCGGCCTGGAAGTTGACAACCGCATGTGGAAAGAAACATCCGTGCCGTGAGCAAGCCGTGGCCCCAATTCCCGTAGACTGTAATTTGTGGCGGTGAGCATTGGCCCGAGCGATAGCTTGGTGGTCATTGCATGTCGGTTTCTTGTACTGAATCAGCACAACCCTCAACACAACTTTCACCACACGCACCATTTTTATATCAGTGGATGACTTCAAATGAGGTGCTAATTCTTCATCCGTCACCATGAACGCCTTCCCGGGCATAAGCGGAACATCGTTTCCCGGCTTCCGCATCTTCATATGCTCGGCGGAGAAGTTACCGTCCATGACATAGCCTCGAGCGTAAATGTACCTGTCCGTACGTTCAATTGCTGCTCGCGGCTTACGGCCCGGTCACTCACGCATTCGGGTCACTGTCCCAGTCATCTGGAATGTTCACTCCGGGCTGTGGGCAGGCAGCACAAAATAGTGCAAGGTCGCCCGTGCCCGGTTCGCCCCGCCATGTCGGCCCGAATCCGAACTGCATCATAGCCCGGAGAAGCGTCCATTGTCTTGTTGCACGAATGAATTCCGCATAGCGATCCTGCAGTGTGCTAATGAACAAGGCGAACCGTCCGCAAGGGTGACATGACTTACCGGCACACGATGCGGGAATGCCGGATTGGTCTTCCGGCGAAGTCGGCGATAATAGTTCATCGCGGACGTCTTGCATTCGAGATTGTCGAGGAGGAAGTCATCCAGAACGTCGAAGGTAAAACACGTTTTGACATTCAGCTGGCTTGCCGGGTAAAGCCCGGCCTGGAGGAGCTGACCGCGAATTGACTCCGCCTGAGGGCAACGGCAGCATTCGACGCGGAGGAAGTGCACGGCGGACGTATCGACAATTGTCATATGCATTTCCGGAGCCCGCTCAACCCCGGCCGCATCACGCAGGGGATCACCGAGGGTTTCCTCATCCTCTTCACCACTGTCGGATTCATTGCAAGAATCGTCATCCGACCAGTCACTCTCATTGTCGGGCTCGTCAACACACGGACATGGAGCGCCTTCGTGACCGAGGTGAATGCGAAGGCCTAGGGTTCGAAGCCAGGAAGGGGCCCAGAAACCCGCATTGGTCCATTGCTCCAGGCGATGGAAAGGCAGGCGGGCGTGCTCCCGCAGGCAGCATGAATCGCAGAGCACCGGCCGGCCGAAGCAAGAGAGGCACTTCCACTCTGCGGACCCAGCCGAGCATTTGTCGCATGTCGCTTGGCCGGTATCGTCGGGTGTCGGTGGGGCATGGGCAGTGTACATGTGCCGCAGATACTCATCCCGGTACTCAAGCCAAGCTGTCATCATGTCCGGTTGGGTCTACCCAATTGTTAGCCGCCTTGCCGATATGCGGATGTGCATTAATCCCACCTTTGGGGCCCGGGCACGGCGCTGTGGTTGGTGGGGGCCCGACGGAAGAGGCGGTGGAGTGGAAGGCCCGACAGGGTGATCGGGCGGGTCGACGGTTGACTGCGGTGTCCACAGGCCCTTCGACCGACGTGTTGTCGGTGCCGACGGTTTAGAGCCCTTCGATTGACTTGCAGTCGGTCCCGACGCTTTAGAGCCCTTCGATTGACCTGCGGTCGGTGCCGACGGTGTCGCTGAGGACTTTGGTGTGGATGGGCCTTCGTCCGGTAAGACTACAAGTCGTGTCCTGAGTCCTCTTGAGGTCTGTTTCCGTTGTATCTCGACTTCTTGAACTTTGGGGGAGCTGCATCGTCGCTTTACCCTGGGCTTCGCCATCGTGCAGCAGGTGGGTAGTGGACAAGGTCGCTCGACAGACTTGGGGAATGACTGTGCCGGAAACGTGTTCACCTTGAGGATACCGCACCCTCGGCTAGCTCCCTCCGAGTTGCTCGGACATGGCCGCCGGGCTGGCGAGTTATGTTGTGATTGGTGTCTGTGGAAAGCTGCATTCAAATATGCTGCTGTGGCGTAGTGTGTCTAATATCGGAAACTCGACATGGCCCAATATTCACAGATATTGTCGCATCATAGCCGACGAGAAGTTACGGGCGCCTAGTTCCATGAGGCAAACGCATGGGAGGTGCAGCGTCCAGCTGGGACTGTGTGCGCTGTCACCATAGCTCTCTCCACCCACCATGCCGGCCACATCGTATACTCCTGGTGAACTCCTCATCCTGCGTAGCTTCCTCCCGGAGTGGAAGGCGGGTGACTCAAATGACCGTAAAGATGTCCGCTCGCGTGCCGTCGAGAAGTTGGAGGCCCACCGGGGAAAGCCGTTGAAGAAGGAGGGAAAAAAGGTACGTAGGTTGTCGTGCAGTGCGGATACATTGTATAATGAATAATCAGGCTGTTCGGGCTTGGTTTTACAATGCCGCACCTGTTAAGAACAAGAAACGGAAAGACCGTCCTGCTGTGTTCGGCCGGCGGCTCAACTGGCACCGTGTGGTAGCTTGGCACATGCCCGCGGAGTTGGATGAGAAGATGGCTGCGACTGGGGTCACCCACGGAGACAAGGACTTTCTCGCGACTTATCAAAAGGAGCTGCGCAATCTGGCCAACAGTCTGCCCCGGGCGAAACAGCGGGAGTACAAGCAGGAGGCCGTCCGATGGAACTCGGAAGGTCAACCTCATGAATTGCAGGACCGGAACATCGTTCGGAAGAGCGAAGCGGTCATGTTAGACTTCGCAAATTACGTCTGGAGGAACTTCGGCATGCGTGTGTTCGTCCACGCTGTTTACAAATCCCTGGAAGGGAAACCGTGTTTAATCGAGTGAGTACCACCTTGTAATTGACTCCATATATTCTCATCCTTCCGTTATCACCAGCTTTGATTGCAACGACCTTGTCGACCCCAACGCCCAGCGTGCAGCGGGTCGGGTGAAATTCAAGGACATGTACCCCGACTACAAACGTGCGGACGGGTTCCGAGATCTATTCAAGGACTATGGGCACAAATTGTTCGGTACGTGAATGGCCTGCACCATGTCCTGGCTAGTCCGGGTAGCTCATGCACAATGTCCTCATTGCAGCGGGCGAGGACTTATCGGAGGAGAGTGATGCGGATGTCAGGGCGAGTAAGCGGGGTGTGCCGAAGATTGACTGGGAGATGTACGATGACAACACCCCCTGTATGCCCCACCACGGCGCCGAGTGCTTCAAAAATCTACGGAACAAGAAGGCTTTTATTTCTGACTTCGTCCGGCTTCATTACGGTATGCATCCAATCTGTGTGATATCATTGGGTGCTGACAGTGATGCAACAGTGGCCTATACAAATATGCCGAAGTTGAAAGTCCCCTGGGTCGCTCTCCAGGCGACTCCGGAGAAGCTTCTCGAGGCCGGGTCGCTTCCTAACGGTGTCACCCTCCAAGAACCGTCGCATCTGAAACAGGCGGAGGTTGACTCTCTTATCGCACACTGGCGTACAAGGGCTAATTCCTCACGGCTTGCCTTTGTGATGCGTTTCATTGCCTACCGAAACCATCAAAGCGAAATCGTGTCTCTGGAGCATGAGGAGCCGAGGACTGCTTCCCGCCGCGCTGCCCGGAGGCACGCCCGCGCCGTCAGTCGTCCCCCGTCCGAAGGGTCGTCGGTCGAATACACGTCCCTCAAAGCGTGCTAGCGTGTCTCCGGCGAAAGACAGTGATGCTTCCGACGGTGATGATGAGCGGGAGAATCAACCCGGACGCCAGTCGGATGAAGGATACAGTGGCGAGGATATCGCCAGCCAACATGATTCATCTAACAAGGAATCGTCGTCCTCTTCGTCGACGTCCCATTCATCAAGCTCGTCAAGTGGCAGCGATCCCGCTACCCCGCCCCCCCTCCTCACGAGCAAGAAAGGTCGGCCGCCCTGCCTTCGCCGGGAGCCTCGCCACAACCCCTGGCGAACCTGCAATCGGAGCTTGACGTCGACATGTTGACGGTAAAGCAAAGTCCGCATTCTGACATCCTGCCCGCATCAGACACGGGCATCCCATCCGCTGTGTCGTCGCCAATCCTGCAACCAGTCTTCGTCCCGGTGGATCGGAAAGGCAAGGGACGAGCTGATCGCCCTTTTCCGTCCGATCTTTTTAGTCCGGCGCCATCTCATCGTCCGGCGACACGGCCGAATGTGAAGCGACGAACGGTGCCTTCAAGTTGACATCGGGTCTCGTTATCGAGCGCATGAGCAGTCCACTCCATCAGGGCAGCCCCGAGCCGCGGTCGGATTCGCCTTGTCCGCCACCGCGGGTGGTGCCCCGTCAGCGTCGGGCGGATGGGATCGGTGCCGGACCATCCCAACCGTTCACTACAGCCTCATTGTCCGTTGAGCGCAATAGTGCTGCACGCTTACCGTCCGTGCTTTTGGCAAAGACCGCTCGCCCAGGCAAGCCGCTGCCACACAATGCAATGCGCCGTACGGCTCGCATGGCCTCCACAGGACCTTCGGGTACAACTGGTGTACCGATGGCGGTCGCATCGCCTTCAGTGACCCGGGCGGACGGCGGTGATCCAGGGCCATAAATCGCCTGTCGTCGCCATCGTCAGCGGACCCAGATGACGTTTGTGAGATTGAGATCGGGGCTCCTGCCAAAATGGGGGACGACATGTTCGATCGGCTACGGTTCCTACGGGAACTGTCAAGAAGCAAATACTATTGTGCGCTGTTGGAAGTCATTGCACCGTTGGTACGCTTCCGCATTGTGAGTGTGTACTCTCCATGCTGAGCAATGATATCCTGGCAGTCACACGCCGGATCTTGGCATACGACCAAGACTTGGGAATGGGGTATGTGGTCCTACCGCAAGTCTCATTGCCCGCCCGCTGTCCACACGAACGCAACCGAGATCAGAGCATTCAAGTCGTGGCTCACCCGGATAACGACGAGCATGAAGGACACTTCCATCAGTGTCGATGAGGCACTGACCGTCGCCCTGACCATAGGAATGCTGCTGCACGATCTAGAAATGGCGTTATCGAGTAATCGCGATAAGTACAATTTGCCGGAACATGTACTTCAGACACTCCACGACCATGATTTCGTCAAGGAGCGCCTCCTTTATGCCTGCAAGGCATTGGCTCGAGAATGGCGGGAGGTTCCTCAGCGGACGAAGCGACTTATGAATCCTCCGGGCACCGGATCCGATGCTTCCGCAATCGGCGCGAGGATCAGGAAGCGTGGCCGCAAAGGGGTGCATGGGTCTCCTAAGGAGGAGCAGCGGGTTACCAAAAAGCTTCGCCGTGGTTAGATTTCCCTGTACATATGACACAACATGGGTGGTGTATACATGTGCAGGAGAGGCTGGACGTCAATGGAGTTCATTCCTCCATAATTATTGAATGTATACTGAGTGACTTGTATAACTATTGAGTATGCGATTGTGGTCGTCAGACCTCCTTCATCCGACCTCGTTCGTCCGACCTCGGGCGTCCGACCTCGGGCGTCCGACCTCGGGCGTCCGCTCGGGCGTCCGCTGTCGGGCGTCCGCTGTCGGGCGTCCGCTGTCGGGCGTCCGCGGTCGGGCGTCCGATCGGCATCCCTGACATGAGAACTGCGCTTACTGTCCGTTACCCCGGGATAGTATTCCATTGGAAGGAACATTCAATATAATTTCTTATAACGGCCTCGCACTCGGCGAGCCCACTGTGTACTCATTCGCCTGGCATACAGTATCATACAACGCGTATAGGGTACAACAACATCGAAGGACATAAGTGCTACTCAGCCGTGCCGGGACACATTACGGGCACGGCTGCGGGCCCGCACATTCTGGGGGGCGCTGTTGACCGGCACTTCGCGTGCCGCGCGCGGACGGTCATAGCACCTGTTAGAGTCGAAGTCAGTCGTCGGGAGCGAACGGCACAACCGAGTCGGTACTCACATCGCAAGCGGAAGGACAAGGTATTGCTCCGACATGCTGAAGTACTGAAGGTCCTTCACAGCAAACACATCGTGCCCAGCAGCCTCGTTGGCAGCCTGCACGAATGTGTCCCGAAGCTGCTCCTGCGCTTTGTCTTCGAGGATGCGACGGAAGTGTCTCTTCTGATCCTCCCACGCTGTGATGATCACGGCGGTTTCGCCTGCTTGCCGAGGAGCCCTATATTATCGGGGGGGGGTCAATAATGCATCCGAAAAATGGGGCGGGTACGCACAGCTCACTGGTGCAACGCGGTGAGTCTCTGGGAGCGAGCGCACCCACTCGATTAATAGACGATGTCGTGCGAGACATCGTCATACGCGCCGGGCTCCTCATCCGCCGGGGTATCCTGGAGGTGCTGCTCACCCCACCTCTTCACCCAGAAATCGTGGACACTGCTCTCGGGCAGTATGTAGCCCCCAATCATGCCCATCCTGTGGATGGATAAGTCAGTCGATGCGAACGCTTGCCAGTGTGTCGTGGAACTTACCTGAATCTGTTCGGGTGCACCTGCCTAGATTGCCGGTGATAGATAAGATGCTGTCGCGATCTATATTATGATGGCCCTGACTCTGTGCCTGACAAATCACATGACTAATACCCACGCTGCTTGCTTCTGCCGTGTTCCGATATCCGTGGGCCTGCGCCAGTAGGCGTGCGGGAGCCGATGTCAGACTGAGTTCGGGCGTGTGAGCGTTGCTTTCAAAGACAATGTCACGCATACCGGATTCTTCCCCCGTGTTCCGCTAACCCGTGGCCTCAGGCGAAGGCCGTTTGGTAGCGCATGACAAGCTGAGTTCGGCCGTGTGAGGTATGCTCCGCAAGAGAGCGGACGAAAGGCGGGGACAGCTACGGAGCTTCCGATGGCGAGGATACGTCTCCATTGCGAAGCCGGCGATAAGGGAATATCTGTGCGAAACTCGGGTGTGGAGTCCCCACACCATGAGAAAGAAAACAGCGGGAATGAGTCATTGTGCTCAATCAGCATGTCTCTTGACCATTGCTGAAGCCGCATCACAACGCCCGAAGGCCAAATGCCGCCTTCTGCATGACTCAGGCGACTATCCAAACTGTGCTCTCCATCCGTGCATCGCTTCCGAGAGAACCTATTGGCCGAGAATCATTGCATTCGTGCAATCATGTTCAGAGCTGGATACATCCATATATAAGAAGGTGGGCATTGTCGTTAAGCAGCAGCCGACGTGCAACACTCGTGCAGCATCGACAATCATGAACACGGTAAGCGGTGATGCCTCGGACGCATGCGGGCAGCAACCCTAACGCCCTGTAGGTCTCATTTGACGGACATGTCGATCTCGACAATCGCCTCAGGCAAATCTTCAACCACTGGCGGACGTGTCCTACTTCTAGCCAATACTCCACCTACGGAGCGTGGAACAAGTACCTCTCCGTGCGTTTTAGGCACGACATGGTCAAGCCCCAGGAACCGCTTCGCCCGTCCGTTCCGGGGCAGGATGTTCTTGATGTTCTTCACCGCCGCCGGGGCAACGCGGAGCTGGCTGCTGCTGCCGAAGTGCTCAGCCACGGTGCTCCCGTGAGCACCGACTACACGGGTATGTGGTCGGTGTTTCACTTTCAGGGCATCCGCTCACCTGCTGCAGGTGGACTCGTTTTCAAGCGGCAGAAGAGCGGCACGAAGATGCCCGACTTTGTCGTCGCGTCGTACTACGGTCTTGAGATCGGCACCAACGAGCTGAAGCCCGAGCTTCCACGCCTTGTCGTGGAAATAGGCTCGCTCGACGAGGGCAAGACGACACCGACAGCGGCCCATCGCAAGGCTATCTTGACGCAGCTCAAGGGGTACCTCATGCGGATCGCGCTCAACATTCCGATAACATCCGCCGACTTCCCTTACGGCGTCGCCATCGTTGGCACGGAGGCGGCATGGATCCGTCCATACCGAAGCGGCGGCGGCGGCATTGGTTGGGCGTTCGTCGGTGGTGTGAATGGCGGTAAGGGAGATTGGGGGAGTATTTACGACCACAAGTTCCGGGCCCAGATCGATCAGCTGGTGCAGCGCAGCGAGGCAGACGCCATCGCTCATGCGCGTCTGTCCCGGGAGATGCTTGAAACTCCCGAGGCCTTCTTGGTGGCTGCGGAGGGTGACCCTGACGAGGCCGATGGCAGCGACGACGATCCCGAGGATGATGAGGGCGACGGCGAGGGTGGCGAGGGCAGCGACGGGGAGCGGGAGGCGCAACAGGATGAGGAGGATGAAGACGACACCGAGGATGAGGGCGAGGAGGTCGAGGTCGAGTCCGAGGATGAGGATTGACACTCCTATTGCCGCCAACGATTGTTCCACCTATCCATCTTCTGTGTCGTATAAATATTGGTGATTGGAGCTACCGAATATGGGCATGAGAAAGGCAACACAGACAAGAGAAAGCGAGGTAACGAACGTATCCATACAGCCCAAGCCGAGGATCCGACGTCGGACGCCCGACGTCGGACGCCCGCGGTCGGACGCCCGAGGTCGGACGCATGATCTCGGACCGCGTGGTCGCGCATGCCCTGCTATGCACGTGCTTGTGGCGAGTGTGAGAAATATGGCCACAATGGCTTGATCGCATGTCCATTACGTACCCTCCTATCTCCTCTCATCTCATCTCTCAATCGCAATTCTCACCACCTCCGAAGTCCTTTCCATGGCCGTCCCCACCGCGCAAGACTACGACAATGTCTGCGACAACGAGGCCCTTCCAATGGCGAAGGCAGCATTTGTCAGCTGGCAAGACAACCGAAGCACAGCTGAAGCCAATGCGCAGCTTGTGAAATCGATGGTAGAACCTCGGTGCAATGGCATGGAGTGAAGGGCTGATACGTTTCTTGTTCAGTGCATGGCTGCGCTCACGACGGGGCTCAAGCGTCTTTCCGACGAGAACACCCAGACGGCGCTAGGTATTACGGATGCCATGGCCCGCTTTTGGGATATCGTGGGTGGCGCGGAGGAATCGGGGGAAGCGACACTTTCACGTTTGAGTGACATAGTGATCCCAAAAGCGAGCCGAGAGCCGGAGCCCCTCATTCAGGTACCGCCGGGTGTTGCGTGGATGTCCGCGAAGCATGCGGTCGAGGATGGTATGTGTATCTGGCATGAGTATGGTTTCGGCTACTGAGGGAAACACCAGGCACTGGGCTTCTCCCACCGGGCGAGGTCTCGATGTCCGCGTTTCGCACTCAAGTCCATGACACGCTTGCAGCGGAGACCAGTCGGGTGGAGGCAGTGGATGAGATGGTGGAGGCTCAGATAGCCGAATGTGAGGCGGATGAAGCTGCCATGAATCGTGAGGAGATGCTCCACAGCCAGGAGGCGAGTATGTTTCGTTCTCCCATTGATACAGCCATTGACATGTCCGTCGGCAGCACGTCGGACACTCCCTGTACCGACTGAACCTACGCCTCCTCCCCTCGCTCGTCATGCCAGTTCCAAAAAGTCCCACAGGTGTTGCCGCTGAGCGCGGACGGCAACATGCAGAAGGTGCTCGACCAAGGAGGAGATCGAATTCCTCCATGAGTGCATTGCCGCGCTGAAAGCCACAACGAGTATATGGACGAATACATCTCTGCCGAGATCAGGTTCTGGGAATCGGCCGTGGCGGCAATGAGCGGAACGTCCATGACTGGTATGCGAGGGGTGCCGAGCACCCTGTCATGGAAGACACGGCATACTTTACACAAAACTACACGGAGTTCGTTAGTGTACACGACATGTAGGATGGGTTACGCTTTGGTGCTGGATCTGTAGAACGGTTGTAACAGAGCTTCCTTATTTACAAAACACTGCCGAAATACCTGACGCTTCATATGCCTACCCACGGAACTGACGCATCACACACACCCATGTCTTCTGCAGCTAGCGAACACTTATATACACAGGTGGGTGACAACCGGACAAACCGCATCCGCTGTGGGCACCCAATGCCGTCCGCCGCTGTCGGACGCCCGCTGTCGGGCGCCCGCTGTCGACGACGACCGATGTCGGACGCCCGCTGTCGGACGCCCACCGTCGGGCGCCCGAGCTCGAAGCCTGAGGGCGGATGCCCCGTATCGCTCGCCTGTCAAGTGGTGCGGATGGACCGACAGCGGTGACATGGTAGGCTGATTGTTGGGCATCGCATTAAGGCTATGTGTCATTGAACTAGTTCCCGCCATACATGTACATACAGGACATATTCCCATTCATTCAGTTTGAGGTGACATTTTGACTGTGT